TGTTTTTCTTGGAATATGGTTGATCTGTTTTTCAAAAATCTTTCATTAATGTACAGTTGTTCAAAGAATGAACTTGAGCTTTTAAAACTATGACTGAAAGATTTGAAAGAAGAAAGAACTGTTCAAATTGTTACTTTGATTGATAATGGAATGAGTCAAAAAGAAGTGGCCAGACAGCTTGGAGCTCGTCGTTGTATGGTCCAAGAAACATACCAACGATTTGTAGAGACTGGATCTAACGAACTACTACCAGGATCTGGCACGAGAAGAATCATGACGGCTAGAGAAGAATGTTCTTTACAACGCAATCCAAACCCGTTTTCAAAATGCTCAAGGCTGGACATTAAGCACTTATACGGTGAGAAGATTGAAGAAATTTGTGATTGTGAATTCTGTATTTGTGGTGACTACAACCTACCTGACGCATCCTGGGATAATCTTAGTAATGGTGTTACGGTTGAGTGTCCTCATCACTCTCCAGCAAATATTATTTGTACTTGCTACAATTTTCAAAATATGTCACAAGTAAATGCTTTGCCTAACCTTAATAATAAATTTTTAGATCTAGTTTTCTGTACTCAGAGAGATGCAGTTGTGTCGATTTCAACTGATATTCTATTGAATACTTCGCAACATCATTCAGCTTATACTATAGTGATACATGAAGCCAATTTAAATTTGTTTCTTAAATATGATGTCTTCTATCATGATTTTAAGAAATGTAATTATCAAGTTTTAAATGAATATTTAGCCTCAATTCCTTGGAACAAGGTATTAGATGAATCAGTTATAAATTGCTACTTAGAAAATTTTTACCATATTTTATATGATGCCATCAATATGTTTGTTCCTATCAAACAGTTTTAAATCATTAAACTTTCAGTTTGGTTTTCGCGAGAATTAATTGAGCTTGTCATACAGAAAAAATAGCTCACAAGAATTTTAAAGCATCAGGCAACTCATATGAGGAATTTCGGTGTTAAGGGAAAGCATTACAAGCAGTATGTTATAAGAACTATTTAGAGAATATTCAAACAAATCTTTCAAGTAGTCCCCACTCTTTTTGGAGGTGTTAGTACTAAATGTGGGTCTAGTGCTTATCCTAATGTAATCTCTAATAAAGGTGGGGATGTAATAGCTCAGAATGGTGATGAAATAGTCAATCTATTTTCCAGCTATTTTTCAGGTACATATATATATATATATATATATATATATATATATATATATATATATATATATATATATATATATATATATATAATATATATTGATAGTGAGTGTAATGTACCTAATTTTAAATTGGACTATAATGTAGATTTCCAGAGTCTGAAGTTTAGTCTGACTGATGTTTTCGAGGGGATTAGCAGTTTAAAAACTACACTATTCTTCAGGGACTGATGGTATACCTGCAGCACTTATTAAGAACTGTATTTTTCCCTTTGTAAACCTTTACAACAAATTTTCAATTTATCATTGTCATCATCTGTATTTCCACAATATTGGAAAAATAGTTTTCTTACACCTATCTATAAATCTGGCAATCGGGAGTGTGGTTAACAATTATAGAGGTATAAATATTCAATCAGCAATCCCGAAACTTCTTGATAAATTGGTATCAATAAATCTCACCTGGGCTTGCAGAAACATAATTATTGATGAACGACATAGTTTTTCTAATGGGAAATCAACTGTAACAAACCTTGTCAATTACCAACAATACTTGTTGGGTTTTGAGAATTCAGTTGAGTCAGCGTTTGAGAATAAAATTCAAGTTGACAGCGTTTACAATGATTTCTCAAAGGCCTTTGACCAGGTTAATCATAATCTTTTGTCCACAAACTTCATGCATCTGACTTTGGTGACCCCATTGTTAATTGGATTAAAAGTTTTCTGATGGAACATACACAGCAAGTTCGTATTAACAATTATATTTCAAAAGAATTTCATTGTTATTCTGGTGTACCACAAGGGTCTCATTGTGGTCCCTTGTTTTTAACTAATCTAATAGCTAATAGATATATTCTTAATGATGTACTCTTAGATTCAGTTACTGAGATTAGAGATTTGGGTGTATTATTGGATTGTGCATTGACATTTAGAAGCCATTTTCTTAAAATTAAGGAAACAGGATTTCATAATCTTGGTTTTATTTATCGTAACAGTCATGATCTCTCACCTATTGTATTTAAATTATTGTATTGCTCTCTGGTACGCTCAGGTCTTGAATATTGCTCTGTTGTCTGGTTCCCGTTTCATCAAGTATACATTGATGGATTGGAGAGCGTTCAGAGGAAGTTTCTAAGATCTTTAGCTTTTAAAGCACATATTAATATAAAAAATACTGAGAATTATTTCATAGATTATTCTATAATAATGTCTTATTTTAAAATTGCTACATTGAAGAAACGCAGGTTGAGAGCTGATATGTTATTTTTGTTTAAAATTCTAAACAATGTTATTAATTGTCCCTCGTTATTAGCCAATGTACACTTAAACACAATGCATAGAACTCTACACACTGCACTCTTTTATATTCCTTTTCATAGGACTGATTATGCTCATCATTTTCCCTTGTCGAGAATGTTCAGCTCTTGCAATGACCTCCTATTGGATCCTTTCTGTCCAAACATTAATGCTTTTAAAAGGCAACTTAAGAATCTGACTATTAATCTAGATATGTGATAGTTACTATGTGATACTGATACTTTTTTTTTTAATATTTGTGATATGATATATTGTTTTAATGTACAAATTTTATTAACTGTTTACTTGTTTCTTTGTTATTGTTTTGATGTTTATTGTACATGATCTTTACTTTTTACTATTTGTTGTATTTTATTGTAAATGGTTCTACCGTTGAAATAAATAAATAAATAAATAAAGTCTTGAAGTCATGACACATGACATTGGTGAGCACAGTTAGAAAAAATAAGAGATTTCTACCCACCAATATGCAAGCAAATAAGAAAATACGTGTTATTTCCACGAATTTTCCATTCAATCATGATGCTACTATATGCTCTTATGTGTCAAAGAAAAACAAAGTAGTAGTGTTACTCTCGCCTATGCATATAACACGACAAGTAGAAGACAATAAAGTAGCTAAGCCAGAAATACTTAAGTATTACAATAAAACCAAAGAGGAGTTGATACCATGGATAAAATGCTGGATGATTATACAGTCAAACATGGAACATTCTGTTGACCCTTGGCCTTTTTTGGCCCCCTTGGCCCTTTGAAGGATCTCTAAAGATCTTTGTTTGTCCTCAGTTCATTCTTGAAGTAAAAACCAGATGATATTGATGAGTCATTTTCTTCGTAGTGCTGTAGAAATGGTCATTGGTCGAAACATAGTATTTGTAATTTGTCAAAGGCTGACTGTTTCACCCAATTTTACATCATTTTTAGCCCGATCTTTATAATTATAGAAAATTGATTCCCTCATTCTTCCCAAGTGTTTTGCTCTAGTTATAATTTTTCTTTTTATACAAGATGTGTGGTAGATGAACTTTGTTGTCTATTTGAAATCTCAAATACTTGACACATTGGGAGTGTTTTGTAATATTGTTACATATGTTTATAGTCCAAGAGTGATCTTGGATTCTATGGTTAAATATTATTATGTAGTTGTGTTTTAGAGGGATTTATTATTAATCTCCATTGATTTGCACAAAATATTGTGTCATCCATCCTAATATTTTTGTGAGTTTTAGAAAGTTGTAATGATATATTGTGTTGATGTGGTTGATGTAGTGTTGATGAAAAAATTGTTTACTAATTGCTACAGGTAAGGACAAAGATGATATTAGTAATCAGTATAGTAAATGTAATCAAGTTTCAACATAATGGTACTAAGGGTAGTATTTGAAGTATGGCAAAGATAGAAAGAAGTTTCTTTACAATCAGTAGGCTAAATAAACAAACAGAATTCCATTTAGAAGGAATAGGTTTGAGAGGGGCAGTCCTAAAGAATATGGTTACATGGGGCCACTGATACAAGAAATAGAACATGTTATAACAAAGTCTAACATATGTTGTCCCTATCTGTTATAAAGATGTAAAATAACTCTATTGCTGATTTAAAAAGCATTTTATCTCATATGAAAATATAGCATTCAATAAAATGTTAAATCTGTTCACTTTTTCAACATCAGACATTGTATATACACACTTTTTCTTCTTTTTGTGTTAACTTATCATGATTATCATCACTTCAGGAGTTGATGCTTTCTATTTTCCTCCACTTTTCTCTACCCTCTATCATTTTTGGACATTTTGACACTAGAACATCTAGGGTTGTGGCAATGTGATGTGGAATAGGACAAATCTGCTTCTACCTTTCCATTTATAGTAAGCTTCTCAAGATCATGCTTTTGAAAAACATTGACTCATTTGTTCTTCAGGTCACCCATGGGATTCAAGCCTTCATCTCAAACAGAACATTTTGAATGCATTTATGAGCCTTTCATAGTTCTATTTGAGTGTCCAGCATTCAACAGCATAAATAAGGAAAATTAGATTCTAACTTGTCTGATTTTGGTGTTAATGGCTACTACACTTTCCCAGATTTTTATTAATTTATATAGTATTTTTGCAATTTGTGATATTGTTTAGTCCTGATAAAAGATTTTTGTTAGGCCTGTCACTTATCACGATTCTTGTTTTTGCTCTATTTATTTTAAGATCTACAGTTGTACTGAGTGTTTCAATATTTTCTAATAGTTCATTAATTTCAATAGTTATATAATATGCATATTTATATTCCATGTTATCCAATCACCATATACCATAAACAAAATAGAACTCAGTATACACATCACACCATTAGTGACCCTGAAACTATGGGTTAGTTCTGTCTCTAATACTGCATAGCAATTGTGTAGATTTTGCAATATGCATTACATGGTAGTAGTACATAAGCAAGGTATATCAAATAAACCATTCTAGTTTTATCAAATCAAAACTTAATAAATATTCATAATATATACTTTGCTTACTTTGTTGAGATGTACTTGATGATGATAATGCAGTCCAACTAGAACTATTACTAGAATCTGAACTGCCCAAAGAAGTTGTACTTTGATTAGAACTTTGTGAATTTGAGCTCAGTAAAGTTGGTAATGTATTATTTGAGTTCACCACATTTGTAGAATTTGATGAATTCGTAGAATTTAATACATTTGTCGCCTGTGGATTAATGCCCTGAGTAGTTATTGCTGAATTTATTACAGGATGGTCTTGGTCTAACATCTTAGTTGTCTGAGATGTACTTTTTTTGTCAGCCTCCTTTTCCCTGACCTAAAAGAGAATTAGAAAACAAGGTCAGGTGTTGTAATTGCTCACAATAATACACAACTGTAGTAATACTAACCTGGATAGTAGGTTGACCTGTATGGTTCCATTGTGGTTGTACTTGAGTTTGGTTTATTGTTTGTTCTACTTTTTGTTGTTGTTGAGGTTGATTTTGAGGCTGAACCTGTTGTTGATGATGTTGCGGTTGTTGTAAATGATGCTGATTCTGAATCATCGTCAGTTGCATTTGATGCAGCACTTGGGAGGGTTGTGCTAAAAGTTAATAGGTTTAGATGACATTTTTTAAACTTAGTACACATAATACTCACATTTTCCACTGAAAATGTTGGGATTTGCATCTAGAAGTGCTCTTAGCAACTCTGGCATTGATTTTTGTTGTTCCAGTCTAGAATCAGCTCCAGCATACATGTCTTTTACTTCACTATAAAATATATTATAAAATCAACAATAGTAACACTAATTAACAATACACTTACATATGTTCAGCTGAAGTCTTTTCTAAAGACTGAACCAACTGGGGTACCAATACTTCATCTCGGACACCAAGTAAATTCTGAGCTTCCTCTGCAACTCGAGGATGAAACAGTAATGACTTATTACTTAGTGTCTGTGGTGATGGTGTTGGCAGAGGCATTTCGGGAAGCACTACAATAAAATTGTATGGTTACTTTTATATTACTATACATATTATAAACAATTCTAATCATAATCATATAATATAGATTATATTAAGATTTAGTAGAGAAACTCATGTCTATAGATGCATAATTTTATATACTAAATCTTAAAATAATTACTATTTAACTGGGAATAAGCCACAATTAAAGATAAAAATATGTTTATTGACGTTTCAATTTCCACTTCGGAATCGTTTCTTAAACACAAACAGTACGTTTATTGACGTTTTAATTTCCACTTTGGAAATTGTTCTCAAAATACAAACAGTAAATTTACTGTTTGTATTTAAGAAACGATTTCCGAAGTGGAAATTGAAACGTCAATAAACGAATTTTTATCTTTAATTGTAGCTTATTCCCAGTTGAATAGTAATTAATTTAAAATGCCACAAGAAAATAGCTTCAGAACAATATTAATAAATCTTAAAATGTTGATAAAATGCTAGAGTATTTAATTTTTACCTTTATTTCAAAAGTGAACATTGTTAGAAAAGTTTTATAGTGATTTAAATGAACTACTTTATTTTTAGTATTTTATATTTATTATTATAAGTTGAACTATCAGATTGGTGTATCAGGCTAAACATATCCAATAAAAGCAAGTATGTTTTTGTATAAGTAGCTAATGTTTCTTCCAGCAAACACAATGGTATTGTTTAGATTATGTTTACTGTTATTAGCTGTAACTGAACTAAAAAGGTGATTCCATTTGCTTTAATCTGATATTCAAAAATTGTGATCACTGATCAGGAGTGATTTTGCAAATCACCAATCTACACTCATTTCTTTGTTTGCTACTAAAACGATTTTAATAACTTTTAATTTAAATATCTTTTAACTTGCATCCCTTGTTTGGTTATTTAGCTTTTTGTCAATTTTATCTAGAATATGTATAACCTAACTTGGTTTTGTGTCCTGTTTCTTTTATATACCCTATTTGCTTACATTAATCTGCTTTCAAATTACACTGATACCTAAGAATACAATAAAAAGATGAGTAATGACTTACAGTCTGTGAGACTTGCTACCCCAGCCAATGTGGTGATGGGTACACTTGGGACTCCTGGATCCATCTCCACAATTTATTGACTTTACCCAAAAACCATATTTAAGTATTGATATTGGTCATATTAAATAGGAATTGATGTCACTCAAGTAAAGCTAAATTTGTTTCTTGTAGAGTTCATAATATCTGAAATGTAATGGTCTTGGGCTACCTAAAACACCACTCTTACACCATAAATGAATGAACACCAATATACTATATGTTTAAGCTTTTAAACTGAAGAAATAAACAAAATAAACCTTCTTTTCTGTAGGAAAACAATTGTAAGTGACATAACTGTCAACAACATTGTAGCTGACAATTGACAATAAAGAACTTAAAAAACAAATAAATTGCACTTTTTCTGCATTTTAAGTGTATTTGGCAGCTAATTCCATATATAAATAATCAACTCTTCTTGTAAATATTTCCTAAATTTGGTTGCATTATTAAAGTGGCCGAGTTTGTTTTGGAAGCGTTTGCTAGGATTATATCTATCTCTTGAGGTTTGTGTTGCACTTCATATAAGAAATTAATATATTAGTTAACTCTTTAGTGATTAACCCATTGTATCTGTTTCACATATTTATAACAATCATTTTATTCTTCTAATTAATGCAAACGAATGGCGACTTTCTTTCTAAACAGACAGTTGATTGGGGAGGCAAACGACAAACTCAAGATATTTCATTCACTACATAATCGGTAATATAGAGTTACTCATTACCGACTCAATTGACAATTGAGTAGTGCAGAAAATTTTAAAATGAAAATTCTACATACTCTGTAACATAAAATAAACACATTCTAAGATTTATATATTTAGAAATCAGCATATAGTTTTTAAAATATAAATTGATTAAAACTATAAATTTACATCTCTAGAAAAGGATAATTTCAATAGTCATTTATCATAAAATTTTATATTTATAGTAACGCATTTTGATAATAGATGGTAATGCCCTTGAAGAGAAAGTTTAATAAAGATGGCATTTAAGAACGCTCGTATTCTATTTAATGTGCTAGTTAAATTCCGTAACAACAATCTTATATTTTATAGGTATATAAAATAAAATTATTCGAAATTATTCAGAGGAAGAAATTAAAATTCTTATTTTTTGGTCAAAATTCACTTAGTTTTATACAATCAATTAAATCGTACAATCAATGACAATAATTTAAATTACTTCCATTTATGTAAAATTTTAAAAAAGTGAAAAAAATGAATTAATGATTGTGTGTTAAAGAATACGTTTAGACTTTTACGAATAGATACGTTACACCGACACGTTGATTATAATTTCTTTTAAAATAAATCAAGTTTTGAGCACAGAACATAGTAAAAAGCTTTGTGTAATAACAAAGTAGTTCACATATAGACCGAATCTTCCAACTCTATTAAATAGCCCTGTATAAGAACCATGTTTGTTTCTTCTTTTAGGTAATAGAGGGAGCTAGGATTGGTTATGTTTATATTTTTAAATACAAATACATTATGATATAGACGTGAATTATTATAAAATATTAGATAATTATTAATGCCGACATATTTAGTAATATTTTGGTGTCTGAATGACAGAACACCAAAAATTGACCAACCCTAAAGAAATTTACATTTTCTTTAGATTCAACATAGGAAAAATTTTACATTAAAAATTGTTTCTTTTATTTATGTTATTTAGTTATATGATGATATGATATATAAAGTAAGAATATATGCTTATGTTTTTAACTTGCTTGCTCAAAGGAAGTTAGAACTGCTGAGCACTATAGACTATAGGCACCTTAAAGTAGTGATCTATGAAGATGGGATTGACGATCCTGTCAAAATGTAAATGTCAAAGTCAGGCTAAGAGCTATGTGATATGAAAGTGAAAATAGGAAAATAAATATGGATGATAAAAATACAATTTCTCAGGATCAGAAAGATTATGAAGATTTAATGCAAAAACAAAAAAAAGAAAGAGAAGAGTATATTGAGAAACTTAGGAAATGGCTAGATGAAGCAAGAGTATGGCATTACAATGTATGTGCAGGATTTTCCTACAATCTTAGCAATGGTAGAGAAAATTCTTTTCAACAGTTTGTAAATCCTTTTGGTAATCTTCAACCTCAGAATCAGACAAATGTTTTAAGGCAAAGAGTTGGTTTTATACCAAATGGGAATTACCAACAACCATTGTTTCAAGCAGGTAAATAATGGGGATTGTTATAGTAACTATTCTCATCACATCTTGTGGGTATCTATAATACATAATTATTTTTCAGTTACCAGGTACATTTTGTCGAGCTTTAAATAATACTAATTTCTTCATTTTATCATTTATATTAATGTGAGAAATGTGAAAGGCAAATCTCTTTTTCTCTCTTGCCTATATATTTTGAAAACATTTTTTCTCATTTTATTTTGACTTCTTTCTATGTTCTTTATGAAACCAAATGATTATCTTTATTGGCCATGAAATTTGAAATTAAGTAATTCTTTCACAAGTTTCAACCTATTATTAAATTCTAGTTTTTTGTTGGCATTGGTCACGAAAATAAATTATAGTAGTTGTCTTATTTTTCATTAATGATATATTTTAAAGACAACATAATTAATGTTATATACACTTTAAGTAAAAAAAAAAACAGAAATTCTATTATTTATTTGACATTTGTCTCTGAATTGTGAATCTCATAATATAGAACACTGACATTTCATCACTTTTCTGGAATTATCTAGAACCCCTTCTGTGGTATTCTAAACCAGATTCTTTAAGTATCATAGTATAGCAAATATCTTGAAGTGACCTTAGATATAACTTTATATTTCAAACAACAACACAGATAATACTACCCTGAAAGTAGGAAAGTACAACATCATCCATAAAAATTGGCTGTAAATGAAATACCCCACTATTTCTTGTCTCATGTCATACCCCTACTTGTCAATATGGACTTGTGAGATCCACTTGGATCCTCTGCCTCTGTGATTCCCATGTAATATAAAATGTGATGACAACAAAAAACAAAATCTAAAAACATGTCTAACTTGTAGAGCATTGATGGAGATATGCTCCATCAATGAAAAAACATAAAAAAGTTAGGCTCATGATATGCAAAGATTTGGATAAAGTAAAGTATCAATGGTTCAATCAGGCAAGAGGCCAGGGAATCCCATTTTTATTAATTTGAGAAAAAAATCATTAACTTGATAGCATTCAAGAAAAAACTCAATGCAAACAGCTAAGCTATCTGGAAGTTCAGGGAACTGATAAAGGAAACTGTTACTTCACAGTTTTCCTAAATGTTCATCTACTTCGGGAAAATTTTGAAATTGTCATTAATTTGTATACATATTAGCAACCGGTTTATATTGTAATTAATAATGACTTCAACTTCAAACAACTATTGCAGTGCTCCTCAATGTTTATCCTATTATAATTCACAAAAAAAATTCCATACATAAGTTTCCGCTGGACGAGAATATGAGAAAAGTTTGGCAATGCATTTTGTGAATTGGCAATCATATAACCAAGTACGTGACTTTGCAGTTTATATTTTACTGAGAACAATTACTTTCCAAGTGTTGAAATATTATTTATATTTTAATATATTTATGCTTAATTTACTTTATAGTAACACCTGAAACTAAATTAAGAAGACTGAAGAAAAATGCTATTCCATCAGCTAAATTGCCCTAACGGTCTTATGAAGCTATTAGTAGAAAACGTAAGGTGTAATTTACAAAATATAACGTGGCCAGCTCCAAAAACTGCCTCACCCTCAACTAAAGATCTCTGCCGATCTTGCAACCATATAAATAATTAAGATAATGTAAATTTTACTACCCGTGTTTCAGACATACTGTAGAAAAACAAACATTTAATTTTATTTTTATTTAGGTTTGGGAGTCAATTACCTTATGTATAAACTCAAATCACAAACAAATAAACTTTGAAGAATGTACTCCAACTTTTACTTTGACAAAACACACATGTAAATGATTTATATTAAACGTTTTATAGCTTAAAGATCAAATGACAAAATTATTTGTTTTCCCGAAGTTATCGTCCATATTTGAAATCTTCAGTGCCCCCTGTTGGAATTGGCTATCGCGAATAACTATGATCAAACCCAACTCAACTGGAAGGCTTTACCATAAAAGATATTTGCATAACTATTTGTAAAAACTGGGTTCAAAGATCAAAAAGATTGGATCATGGTAATGATTTGTACAAATTCTACTGCAAGCTGTAGATTACTCCTTTTAGTGAATGGAAATTGGAAAAAAACTTTTTTTGGGATTCATTTTATATTTTGTACATCAAATTAGAGCACATTTGATGCAGTGCCTGGAGTAACCTCAGAGTGTTTGCAACTCAAAACTGTTGGTTATAATTTTTTGTCTGGTCTTTTAACATCAAAAGACAGTGTTTTTGATTATTTGTATTGTATAAAATCAATATCTTAGGGTAAAATGAGCACCATATTGAATTACAGTACATAAAAAAGCTTTAATTTAAGCAATTTGAGCTGTGCTAAATTAAATTTGACCCAACAGTTTATGCAAAATTAACCATTGAATGTCAAAAACTTTTTTTGTCATTCTGAATTTTTGAAATAACTTCTTAAATTCTTTTTTTTATGCAAAAAGCATTATATTGTAGCTCTTTTAATTACAAATTGAATGAGTACATATACTAGTACCTATACAGTACATATATTTTGAACTTATTAATTTTAATAGCTGAAGTCGAGACAAAGATTAAAAAAAATTAAAGTTTTCTAGGACTAGTTGAACTAAAGTTAGCTTAATTTGTTTAAAAAATCACAGCTGCTGTTTTTATAACAATTAAGAATTAAAATTGGCCCCATTCAATAGTTAAATTCCTGTATTTTATAGGGATATAATTTTTATTTTCACAATCCAATTTGTAACAAAAAAATATTATTTATATATTTGAAATATCTCTCATGAAAAAATCGTTTAAACTACAACAGTAATTGCTGCCAACAGAAAATGCTGCGGATGAGCATTGTTTGAGAGTTTATTATCAAATACAAGTTTGGCTCTTAAATAATCTTGATCCTTTGCATTTTAGTTGGCAAAGGGGTGAAAACGGATTAGACCCGATCACATCTAATGAAAAAAATGGTTCCTCCTGAGGTCTCAGAGAGTATATCATGTAAATGTACAGTATAATCTGCGTGCAACAAACAGTATAGTTGCAAAAATGGTCTAAAATGTATGCGAATATACAAAAACTGTAACGGATATAGTTGTGGTAATTCTCTGATTGTCAGGAAATCCATCAACTCTGCTGCTGCTCTCTTCCAAAGGGGTGGTATAATCGTGATCAAAATGACGATCTGAATGAGAGTGACGACATTGATATTTGGGATGTAATATTAAACAATAACGACAGTCAACTTATAAACAATATAAATAAAAACAAAAAAATAATGAATACCTAATATTAATTATAATTTAATGAATAGTGTTAATATTACTTATAATATTTTTTAGTGTATTTTACATTTATTATTATACACCTCATCCTTTAATTGAACATTTTATTCTTTATTTAATCCCAAAATATTTAATATTGTATGCACCAGATACATGTTATAAAATATATTTAATCTGAATATTTACTATTTAATATAAAAAATATATATCATATGTAAAATAAAAAGTTTAAACAGTAATTTAAGAAGAAATGTTAATAGTCACTAAGCTGTAAATAGCAGCCAAAAAAAATCGTCAATGTTCACAAAATTTTCTGCTATCCCAGATAAAAAAGTGTTAAATTGGTCCATATTTAACGAAGATGTGATAAAATTTTCCGACAACCACATATTTAAGTGTGCTGACTGACAGGAGAACCAGCCAAAACCGAGCCAGTTTGTCTACATGGAAAAACGGTCAACTTTACTCATGTTTGTTTACTATAAATAGCGGTTTTTTTTTTTAAATAAAAATTATATCCTCATAAAATATAGGCGTTTCGAAACTTTAACTAACTAAAATTTCACATTTTAGGACTTTCAATCATTAATTTTGCGAAAACTGTTGTGTCAAATTTAATGTAGCATAGGTCCAATTAAAGCTTTTTTGTGTACTTTCATTCAATATTATGCTCATTTTAACAAGATATTGATTTGATACAATAAAAATAATCAAAAAAACATAAAAAGTGCCATAAAAAAGTTATAACCTACAGTTTGGAGTTGCAAACACTTGGAGGTTACTCCAGGTGTTGCCCTTTATAATATTGTGCTGGTTTCAAATATTCACTAATTAGTGCTCAAAATCATTAGCTTGGACTAATCCTTTTTCTTTTAGTATTAAACCATACTGTACTATATTCTTTTTTTATTTATATCTAATAATATTGGCTCAATACAGTTTTAACTTTAAGTTCAATAATAATAAGATTTTTTAAATTCCAGCTCAACAACCTGCACAAAATAATCAAACCCCACCTGTCTATGAATTCATTATACCACCCCTTTGGAAGAGAGCAGCAGCAGAGTTGATGGATTTCCTGCTTCTTTTGTTACTGAAAGTAGCACTGACATTCCTCCTATTGGAAAGTTTTGACATTATGTAAGAATAAATTATATGTTCAAGGTGGGATCAATGTATATATATATACAGGGTTCGGCAGATAAATAAACGGCCAATTAGAAATATCTCGAGAAGTTAACTGAATCATGAAAATTGAATAGAAGGGGTTTTAAAGAGTGATAAATTTAATGGAAATATTTTCATGTGTTTGTTAGTTCCGGTTATACCTAAAGTTGCTTATAACTTGATTTGTTTTAATGGGACACCCTGTGTATATTTTTTAATTTTAGAAATATTCACATTATTCTGAACATTTTTTGTTAGTACTTCCCTATACCTATTGTGAACCGCTTTTGAGTTATAATGATTTTTATATAAAAATTACACTTTTCTATCATGTATAATTAAGTTCAATATCCTCTAATGTAATGTAATTTGAATAGAAGTTTAAATTCCTTAGGGACTTATTAAACACATATAACTTTATCGTTTATAGTGTAAAGTTGCCTTTTTCATTGCACAGGGTGCTAAACTAAAAGCTATGTATGAAGACCTATAACTAATTAGGCGATGATCAGTGGGTCTTAAACAGTGGCTTTAAAATTTAATTCCAATCACTTGAAAAGTCAACGATTTAATTTTCTATATTTCATGTTCAGTTCAATGTTGGATTTTGTTCTATTAAAAGCAAATTAACTGAATATAATATTTAATTATTTATTACACACAATAAAATTTATTTTATTAATGCCATTTTAAATATACTACTAGTATGGTCATCATTATGTGTACTATACTATACTATGCTGATAGTCCATTGGAATTTTACATTTTTGAGGACGCAATTTTATTTTTTGATGTGTGGGGGTGGTGAGTATAAGCTTAAGTTCAAGTTTGTGGGGTCGCTATCCTTGACCCCTCCACCATCTTGAAAAAAGGGTCAAAGGGTTTTCGCGCTGTATCTCATAAATTAGCAACCCTACATACAATTTTATAAAACATAATTTGTAGTAAATTAAATTTTCTACAACTTTATTTGTATTACTTTACTTCGTAAAATTGAAAATAAAAATGTAAATAAAAATATCTAAAAATTTTTGAACAAATTTTCTTTTGGGCCTTTTTTCTGGTCATTTTACAATAAAAAGATATTTGTAGAAGGTTTTCAACGAATAATTTCACTACAAATGTGTTCTATTTTATTAATTTCTGTGGGTTTTACAGCACTCCTGAAATTGACAGGGTTCTTGAATACTCGTAAGAATATGATAAAAACGAAACATTAGGCTTAGTTTTTTATTACTTATGTTTTTATTCATATAATTTATTATTTTGTTAACATTTCTATGGTATTATTAGTTTATTATCGACCTTTTTCCCGACTACCTATGAGGTAGAGTCTGGAAGGCGCATTTTTTAAGTGTTATCCCCATTAGGCCTAATTCACTGACAATTTCCTGGTGCAATAATATTGAGCATAATTATATATTTAATTATTTGTTTTCCAACTATTGTTTTTTCATTTTATTTGATGGTCTAGGATTCGGTTCAGGATCTAATTCAGTACCGAAGTTGACTACTTTTTTGTACATCTGATTATCTTTTTTTTATATTGACGCCTTTCTTCTATTAAATCAAAAATTTCTTCCGTCATCCATTGCTTCTTTTTATATCTGGTTGGTATTAGAATTTCTTTTTGACTTTTATGTATTTCTGTCTTTATTAATAACCATTTTTTATCCATCTCAGTATTTTGCAGAATTTATTCTTTAAATTCATTGATCCTTTGTTGATTTCATCTGTCAGGCGTTGCCTTATGAGTGGATTCCTTAATTTACTTGTATCGATTTTTGCAGTGGTTGTTCTTCGTTTTATTATTTTCATTTTGAGCCTAATTTTGGTCACTACTGGGTTGTGATCTTGTAACGACTATTTTGCTTACCACAGGGTAAGAATATGGGAGACAAGATTGGGCAAACAAAATAATCGAAACAATTTTGGCTCCCAACGTGCGAGGCTTTTGAATATTTCCATTTCTTTTAGATTTTTGATCCTTTTCCCGAAGCCACATATCTTTTTCAGTTTCCCCAGTTCCCTGCCATTTCTATGAAACTTTTTTCCTTTTGAATAGTGCCCCAAAGTGTCTCACAAACAGTAGTGTATTTGTATTACAATGTATGTATTTTGTACCAACATGTATTGTTGTTTTTTCAGGTAATGTACTTATAGTGACATATGTATTGTTCTTCTTATATGTATTGATAAATGAAAGCAAATATTTGAGTTGAATATTTAAATATGAATTTTAATTGAAGTATTGATATTGAAAAGAATTTAAAAACAGTAGCAAATTATACAGTTACTGTTACATTTATTTTTTTATTGATTCGACAAATTTTACAGAATAATCGGTTTTTGTAATTTTTTATTTGTTGGGTCATTTTGAGTAAATGTGTGTATTCGTTTGAGTGACTTTTGAGCTATGTAGTTGAGAAGTAGTATTATGCAGTTTGTCTTCTAATTAACCGTCTCTGAAGGTGTATTTAAATGCCAAGGGTTAATTAATGTTGTTGTACGAGGGGTAGTCATTGTGAGTCGTAGAGAAGATTCGACAAGTTTAGTCTCAGTAGTAGACTGTTTATTGTGTATCCTTTCTTGTATCTGAATGACCACAGGTGTAATATTTGTGATCAGGAGATGCTGTTTTAGTTTTGACTAGGAGCAGTCTCATTTAGTTTTCGGAACAAGAGTTGGTTTATTTTGGTATTATTTAGTGTAGCTCACTCAAAGGTCAAGTTTTCAATATTATTAGTATTTTGTCTTTCCTTGTATGTACGGTTTATTTGTTTGTTAGTGTCCATGTTGTCCCATGTTGTTTGAAACCATTTTTTTAGTCCTTGTTAGTGGAAGTGTGAACTTTTAGGAGACAGGTTAAAGACCTCATTTTTTGTTTACCAACTGATTACTAAGTCAAGAGCAGAAGTTGCAGCAAACTGATTGAGTTTTGGATTTCAGTACGCGGGAGTGCAAGTGAGACTTACTATCAGGTGATAAATGGAAACGGTTGTTTCTTAAAATTGTCATATTTTCTACTTGTTGTTGAGGTTGATTTCAGTTATTTTGTGTGTTTGCTTTCATCCAATTTTTGAAAAATGAAGTCTACCCAGGTTAATTATTTGAAATCAGGAGAGTTATCTTATGAGCTTTTCATAAGAGGTAAAAATGTCCCAAATAAGACAGTTGATGATAAGAGAAAGATGTTAAGAGCTTTGTTGGCCAAGGAGGCCACTTTGTCTTCAAGTTTAGTCGATTTGGTTAATAATGTAGTAGATCCTAAGAAGAGTTGAATGAGATCATGTTGATTATAAAAGATTTATATAGTATTGCTCAATCAATGAATGCAGATCAAACAAAGCTGATTTTGCTAGATTTGAGACAAGGTCTACACATTTAGATACCAGATTAGAAAATTTCCCTATGAATGATGTTGAGGAAGATGTATTAAAGTTTGTTGAAGAGTGTAAAGATGATTTGTTAGTGTTGAAGGGTAATGTGTTAGAAAAAGAGGAAATGTTTGATGATATAGTAAAACCATCCACTAGTAGCCCAGTTTCAGTCCCTGTAGTTCCCAGTTGTACAGTCCCAGCCCCAATAATACAGGTTTCAACTCCTGTCATTATTTCTGATCTACATATTAAGTTTAATGGTGAGAGTAAAGCTCTTCCCACATTTTTAGAGAAAGTTAAAGATTCTGCTAGGTCTCGGAATATTTCCGAAGACATCCTGTTTCGCTCAGCCATTGAGTTATTTGAAGGTAATGCTGCTATTTGGTATAGGAGTGTTAGAGATAAAATTAATAGTTGGGATGAGTTGGTAGCCCTACTCAAATCTGCTTTTTTGCATCCAGATTATAATGATAATCTCTTTGATGAAATTAAAAATAGAAAGCAAAAAAGGAATGAATCCATAACCATTTATTCAGCAGTGATGGAAAACCTTTTTAAACGTTTGGAAACTTATCCTAGTGAAGCCCAAAAAGTAAAAATAATGAGGAAAAATATTTTAGTGGATTACATTCCACTGATAGCCCTTCAAGATTTTGCTACAGTAGAAATGTTAGTAGCAACTATAAAACGTTTAGAGCAGAATGTCCTGCCCTTGTTGCAGACTACTAAAGGTCTTGCAGGTATTTCGATTGATGATTCAGAAAAGCCCAAAGAACAAGTTCATGTGGTGAATAATCAAACCAAGCAAGATAGAAGTGGAGTAGGTAACAGACAGGACAGAGAAAATTCTTCTAAGAGACCCAATCCCAAACATAAGTATGAGAATAATAGACCCAGTCCTCCAGAGAATACTGAAATAAGAAATCAGTCTTTTTCGTCCCCCACCTCCATTAATGCAGTCAGCCCCTTATCAAGCTCCCAGAATCCGAAAAAGATTATTTGTTTCAATTGTAATAGACCAGGTCATATTTCCCGTGACTGTAGAAGTAAGTCAGTATCTTGTTGGCGTTGTGGTCATAAAGGTGTGATCATATCTTCTTGTCCTAAGTGTAGTATTTCGAATAGGTCTAAGACCAATAGACCTTACAGGCCATCGTTGAACCCAATTTTTGAAAAGAAAGATTCTGATAGTCGTCCCCATGTTAATTGTTTAGAAGTTAATGTAGATAGAATAGACCCTTGGTTTGATAATTTGAGATCAAAGATAATCCGATCCCCCCTTGATTTTCCACAGTGGAAGGTGGAGAATGATTTTGTTTATAAGTTTGCCCCTACCAAAAATTCTTTTAAGACTAATGATGTAGAGTGGAAAATTCTTGTGCCCAAACCACAAAGGTTTGAAGTTATGAAGTCTTGTCATGAGCCACCTACGTGTGCTCACTTTGGATTTTCCAAAACTTTGTCCCGTATTCAGGAAAGATATTATTGGCCCCAGATGCGTGTTGATGTGCTTAAGTTTGTCAGGTCATGTAAAGTTTGTGGTGCTCAGAAGACACCAAATTATGCTCCATTAGGTAAAATGGGTAAGCAGAGAGAGGCCAAGTTTCCTTGGCAAATAGTTGCAATAGATCTGATAGGTCCCTTTGTTCGTTCAAAGAAAGGTTATACGTGGTTATTAGTAGTTGCTGATTGGTTTAGTAAATATACTTTAGTCCAACCTTTGAGAAAGGCCACGGCTAAGAATATTGTTGAGTTTTTGGAAAATGATGTTTTCCTAATGTTTGGTGTTCCTCAATATGTGATTTGTGATAATGCCTCAAATCTGAACAATCCTCTCTTAATTGAGCTCTGTAATAGGTATAACGTTCAGAAAGTATGGTTTAGCCCAGTATATGCACCTCAGTGTAATTTTGTGGAGAGGAACAATAGAACCATTGGTACAGCAATACGTACGTATGTTAAAGACCACGTAGATTGGGATAAGAATTTAGCAAAGATCAGACAAGCTATTAACACTGCAAAGCATGAAGTGACTGGATATACTCCAGCTTTCCTGAATTATGGCCGTCATGTTCCTTTAAGTGGAAACTATTATGGTGTTGATCATAAGGATCAACAGAATCAAGATATCGAGATAATTCCAGGTGACCGTAATATGTATGCTTCAGAAGTCAAAGGTTTAGATAAAGTTTTTGAAAAGGTTAAGGCTAATCTTCGAAAAGGATATGAACGTAACGCTAGGAGTTACAACTTACGTAGAAGAGAAGTCCAATTTCAAGTGGGTGATAAAGTTTGGAAAAGAAATAAGGTTTTGTCTTGTGCTGTCAACAAGTTTATGTCCAAACTAGCACCAAAGTATATTGAAGCAACTATCAAGGAAAAATTATCACCAGTGGTTTATCGTTTGTCAGATTTAAATGGTTCAGATCTTGGTAAGTGGCACATTAAAGATTTAAAGCCTTTTGTGTTAGATGAGGACAATATGTCATTTTAAGTAATTAGTTCATCCTATCCCATGTCTGTATTTTCGAGTTTGTATGTTGATTTGATTTCATCCCTTTGGAATATTGTTTCACTTTGATAATTTTAGTTCAGGTAACCTACTTTATTTGGGAGACACATGTGAGAATCACATTTTTTCATATGTAGGTATATAGATTTAGGGTCTATATCCTAATTTTTTTTGTAGAACCGTTGCCGAATTCCCTGTCTCGCTAGGCGTATAGTGGAGATAGTAACGCCTACCTGTTAAGTGTAGAGCAATTTATTTTGGATTTATGTATAGCACCTGATTTAGGCAACGAGGTGTCATGGCTATGCCTGCCCGACAAATCACTTGTGTTACTGCTGTGAATGTCAGCGAGGTTCACTGCAGGGCATAAGGTTAGCTTCCCCCAAGGCATAGAAACTCATGTCACCTACAGTTCAAGTAGAGTCAAAAATTTCAGTCTACTCGACTTTAAAGAGTCTGGCGATCGATGGCACGCTAGCCCATTCTTTGTAACTAACTTTGTTTTTGTTGTTTAATCCCACGCTAGCCATCATCTAAAAGATATTATTAAGAAGTTTCGACTCAGTTAAGAGGTCATCTTCTGATTTGGTTTTTGTTGTTTTGCCTTTATCAAAAACTGGATAAGAATTATCCGAGTTTTTTTCTTTTAAGAAGGGGCATTGTAGCGTTTTTTTATTTAAGTGTATAGAAAAGATTTCTGTGTTACGTCCTGTTGTTTTTACCAAAGAAAACAATCGAAATAATATTTCAAGTTTTTTTGACGAGATTTTTAAATGCGTATATTTCTACCGATTCAAAAGTAAATATAGATGTTTTTTTGTCTGTGTTTAGATTCAAATATCGAACCCTTTGTTATAAGCCAGGTAAAACTCAAGTTTAAAATACGCACGTATTTTGTTAATTTGTATTATGTAAATTTATGATGCCCCCTGATAAAAAAAAGGTTTTATTTGTTTTCTTCGTTAAAAACGCAATAAATCATGAATTCCCCTAATATTAAAGTTGTTTTTCGTTATTAGTCGAGGGTCAAAAAAAGAATATTTGTTTGTTTAGGCAATAAAGGAACATTTAAAATTTGTTTTTTTTGTCGATACGAGCGAGGGGATATTGTTTTGGTTCTTGAGTTTGTGGACAGGTTAGCTGCAAGACGGAAGGGAAATTTTTGGCTAGATTCTGGTAAAATGTAACGAAGCAAGAGAGTCGACATTTAGATTCCAAACAGGGCAAACATGTGACAATAGGTCGACGAGATTAAAAAGAGCAACGAGGTAGGCAGGTGATGTAAGGCAGCTCGAGTTGAAAGGACTTGGGCATTTTTCATAAACAGCCGGTAATTTTGTGTAATGGGTTAATTAATCAGACCTGTAAACAGTGGACTCTCCGTAAACATGACGGATTAGCATAGAGAAACCACTAAAAGGATTTATGCAGTATACCAGAACATGGTAAAATTTTAAAGCAGTACATAGGGTGTGCCACCAGCTTCGTGTGTCATCTGTTTGCCCCAACCTCGTTCCTGAGTATAGAAATGTTTCCTATGTCCCAGTTAGAGGATTTGTACAAGTAGCTTCCAGTCAGAGATGTAACAAGTTTTTTTTTAAGTTGAGTGACGAAATATGTAAATTTTAAGGTAACAATTCAATATATTAATTTTCAAAGTAAAGACAGATATTTTTTGGCTAAAGTAATAATTGCTTTCATTCTTTGTCATCAAAATTAAATGTGATACCTGACAGCAAGTTTAATTTGTTTTTTTTTGTTATGACAATTTTAATTTGATAATTATGTAGAAACGATATTTCATATATAAGGTTAAATTTATATGTTTTCATTAAGAAGGATCCTTAATTTTTGATAATCGAATTGGCCATAATAGAGTAAACAAAGAACATGTAAGTTTTTGATATTTGTATTATGTTATATGACATGTTTCTTTTATAATATGTATTTTTGATCTGTTTTGTTTGAGACAAAAATAAATGTTTAATTTGTATCTCTGATCTATTTTGAGTTTTATTTGAAAAAGATATTTTTTTTTTTTATAATTTTGATGTTATACAATTATTTCCCTAGTTACAACTAGTGGTTGTAATAGGTATAATTGGGCACCTCAAGTGGCGCCCTATATTAAATTTCTTGAGGTGTTTCCGTTAATTTTCATTCTGTTTGTCCCAAGAGATTTGTATAAGTACCCCTTTATTTCTTTTTTTTGTAGTTGCCCAATCCAACCCCCAATATCTTCAACTTATCCACGACCCAGCTCTCCAACAACCAACTGAGTGTCCGTATGCACTTGTTTCGATTATTTTGTTTGCTCAATCTTGTCCCCCATATTCTTACCCTGTGGTAAGCAAAATATTCGTTACAATCTGATCCTATGTCGGCACTTGGATAGGTTTTTACAGATATAATTGAGTTCGTGTATCTTTGTTTAACTAATACATAGTCTATTTGGTTTCTTACAATTCTCTCTACTTGATCTTCTGGTGACTTCCACGTATATAGTCTTCTCTTTGGCATTTTTAACAATGTATTAGCTATAACAAAATTATTGTTTTGACAAAATTCGATAAGCTTGTCACCCCTTTCGTTTCTATTGCCCAGACCATATCCTCCTGTACATTCTTCTACTTTTTCTTCCCCAATCTTTGCGTTAAAGTATCCCATTATAATTGTTACATCTTGCGTTTTAATGGATTACCAGATTCAGTCTGGTCGACACTAAAACCCACTTCTGATGAGCAGTTTTAAGAAGAATTTGTTTTGTACTTTTCATTACCAACAAATTTATCTTGGAATAATATTGGTACGGTGCTTTTTCTCTGTGCATTTTTCGTGCGATGCAAGTGTAAGAAGTGGGATAAGTTTTGTGGTGACGGAAATGGGTCGACAATCAATTAATAATAACATAGGAAGATGGTACCCCTTATTCCAAAATGACGAGTATTCAAGAACCCGGCCAAGTTCGGAGTGCTGTGAAATCTAAAGAAATTAATGAAATTAAACAAATTTGTAGTGAAAATTATTCTATGAAAAAGCCTCTATGACATAGCTCTGATTTCATTTTATTGTAAAATTACAAGAAAAAAAGTGCTAAAACTAAAAACTAAAACTAAAAATTAAATACTAATAAACTTAAACGTAATTGAGTCAGTTTTATTTATTAATATTTATCAGATCATTTAATTTTTAACCATCAACATAAATGTAATATATGATGACAAACTAATAATTTTATGGTAATACGATCTGCACAGATATCGCCGGCGCCAACAGTTTTTAGATAATATGAATCATTTTTCAATGATATGTATGTGAATGGAACCTTATTTTTTAATAATAATATGTTTTTGTAATGGCATTGCTTTGATTATTTGGTAAACCTACATTACACATCACAAGAAATTAAACAACAATTTCAATCCAATTTTCATGATTCAGTTACCCTTAGTTCTCGAGATAGTTCTAATTGGTCGTTTATCTGCTGCATCCTGTGTTGTATTGCATGTATACATTTATACTCTAATCTTTTTAATCTGAGTTACTCAAAAAGTTTTCCTTGATGAGTGGAAAACCACGGAATACATATAGAAAAATGGTGAAAGTCGAATTGAAAAGAAATGTCACCATCATCATTTATGCATTAAATACTTATAAATGCAAAGAAGATGAAAATTTGGGTATTGTTGGACAAATCAACACACTTTTAGCTTAGTAATATTGCTGACATAAACATCTGTTTATGTACATAATTATTTTTATTAATTCTTGTTCCTTTTTTCAGTGACACTGGCTATTATGGTCTTGAATTGTTCCACAAAAATTTGGAAAATTCGGATGGTACCGTACCAATGGCATTAGAACTGCTTACATTGGAACTTCTGCATCGTTTAATAGTATGTGTATACGAGGTTAGTTGTCATTTTAAAATAAGCAGTAAATTCTAAATTCCACAAAATTATATTAAATCGTATGACCATAGGCGGAGATATAAATTGCAGAATCATACGCAAAAGAACAGAGTTTATATAGTCAGGTGACCACAAATCATGGTCTATAAAGATAAAGTTAAATTACTGAAAGTACAGAGAGGTGTATTTGTTTATTTTACCTATTGATTGATGGTATCTGTATTACTACTAAAGAGTCTAAACACTATTAACTGTTCAAATACATTTTCCTGTATTTCAAATTTCCACCTTAGCAAAACAGTGGAGAAAGGCAAATATAATTCGAAAAAGACGTAAAAAGAAGAGATATCGAGGAAGGTGATCGAATAATTTTAAGAGATAAAAATAATTTTAAAATAGAGGAAAGTAAATAATTGATATCAAAATCCATAATTTTTTTTATTATGTATTCATGTTACTTTAATTTGTTGTAGGCTTATTTTATGCAGGGAAAATATCTGGCAACTCCAGGAAAACGCTATATGGGACTTATGGTGATATCAGTGCAAACTATAACACCAGTACCAAACAGACCAACCGAAACAGTAACAGTAGCAAGAGCAGCGCCCTTAAGCTGGCAAAAGTCTCTAACACGATCGACTCTAAAAAACTTACTTGTAGGTCTTTTCTTGCCAATATGCATATTCTACATTTTCCCACAAAACCGAACCTGCTACGATATGATGTCAAAGAGCCTTGTTGTGGAGTACCATGCGGATTTTATAAGTTATCATTCCAATCTATAAATGTTATTATAAATATTTCGGCCAAATTATATATGTGATATTGTTAGTATGGTTTAATTTTAATTTTATATTCCTTTATAGAAAGTCTCTATCAATCATTTATAAAAAGTAGATTGCAAGTCCTGTGTTTTTTCCTCGGGTCCTTGGTAAAGGATCTTGAAGGCAGTATAGGTGCCTAATACTGGAACCGATTTAAGGCCAGTGACGTAACATTTGTAAAAATTTGAAAGTGCTGAATCACCAAATGAGCCTCGGATATTGAACAGAACTTACAGCAGACAGAAATCATACAAAAACTTAGAAATCGGAATTTAGACGTAGCTATCCCGTTGTCGTCTTTGGGGGAATAAATAAGGGTCTAAAATCCTTAAAAACCACGCCGGACGCTCTGTAGATATTACCCTGTCTTGAAAAAGACAAAGTGAGGTAAAGTAAACCACTACTCGGGTTAAAATAAAACAACAGGTACAGTAAAACGAAACTCAGCCACAGAGTCTAGGAAACAGTAAGCAGAGCCCCTAGAGCGCTATGCTCTAGGGAAGCCCGAGAAGGACTGACCTGGCTGGCCTGAAAATCACCGATATTTATAAGTGTTTAACTATTTATATGGTATTTTCAGGTTAACCAGCCAATAAGAAAATTCGAGGCTGGGCGATGCCCATTGGAGTGCGTACTAGTTCTCAAGGACAAGGAAGGAGCCTCCACGAGGTCAATAGTGCCACATCAACTACGAAGTAAACACTATTGACGGCGTCCCCTGGAAACGTTTACTAGTAGACGACTAATCCTTCCAACATCGGACCAAACCAAATCAGATGGCAAACATCAAGCCACAACGGTTCTTCTCAGAGCCAACACTGACAGTAGCGAGCATAAATATCAAGGGCATCACTACAGCCTAACAAGACATCATAATTCTGCAAGAACACGAAATGTGAGGTATTGTGCACCCAGGAATCCCACAGAGACCTAACTGCAGCGAGACCGAAAGTCTCCGGTATGAAACTGATTGCGTAGATACCACACAATAAGCATGGGACCGCGGTATTTGTGAGAACTCAAACCATAGTCTCATCTGTGGGAACAATAAATGTACATAGTATAGAGATAATAACCACTGAGATCGGAAAATGCACAATAACCTATACAAGCCCCCAAACCAGTCTTTTATATTATCACCCCCAACTAACTTCCAATCACAACCCAATCAGCTTGTACTGGGAGACTTTAACAGTGAAAATTTACTCATAGTCTATCCAGATTCGGACGCAAATGGAGACTCACTAGAAGCATGGGCCGAAACGAGTTGCCTCACGTTAACCCATGATCCTAAACTTCCACCATCGTTTCAGAGCGAAGTTTGGAAAAGAGGATATAACCCGAATATCTGTTTTTCAAGTAACAACCTCGAAGACCGATGTACCAAAAGTAGTATATAGCCCCATGCCAAAAACTCAGCATAGACCAATTGGTATAAATATCTTTCCAATTGTCAGACCACAAGCTATTCCATTCAGAAGGAGATTTAACTTCAAAAAGGCAAACTGGTCAAAGTATGCAGACATGCTAGATTCTGAACTGCTACGTTTTGAACCAAAAGTAGAGAACTACGAAAAGGTACTCAAAAATGTGTCTAGAAAAGCTATCCCTAGAGGATGTAGACAACAATACGTTCTCGGGATGTCCAGCGAGTCCAAAGAACTAATGTGAACATACGAAACTCTATTCCACTGACCCTTTTAGCCAACTAATCCAACAGCTAAGTCAAGCCAGATAGGAAAAGTGGATTGAGATCCTGGAAAAAATGAACATGGCACATAGTAGCAAAATAGCATTGAACCTTGTAAAAAAACTTAGCGGCGATCCAAAAGAACATAAACCACCTTGCAAGGTTACAGCAAACCAAGTCGCTGCTCAACTCCTTATGAATGGAAGAACTACGAACCGATATAAGGACCCAAACACTAGGAGAAGATTTGATTCGGAGACAAACCACTTAGGAACTCCTTTTACACTAAAAGAATTCCACGATGTATGTATGAACAGGTTAAAAAACGGGAAAGCTGCAGGTGTGGATGATATATGCAGTGAACAAAATAAAGCATTCAGGCCAAAGAGCAAAAAACTGGATCTTTCAATTTTATAACACGTGCTGCAAAACCTGCGAAGTTCCAAAATCGTGGAGGAAATCTAAAGTAATAGCCTTGTTAAAACCAGGAAAGGACCCAGAAAACTCCAGTAGCTACAGACCTATTTCGCTGTTGTGTTACTTTTTCAAACTATACGAGAGACTTATACTCGTCAGAATAGAAAAAAATAACGACAAGCACCTCATCCCACAACAAGGAGGATTTAGACCCGGCAAATATTGCACCAGTCAAGTCCTCTCACTAACAGAACACATTGAAGAGGGCTTTGAAGAAAAACTTAGAACAGGGACTGCCTTCGTAGATTTGACAGCAGCCTATGACACAGTAAGGCACAAAACATTGCTCCGCAAATTATACGACACTCTCAATGACCGCCATCTGGGTAAGGTCGTATATTCATTAATGCAAAACAGACGTTTTTTGCAGTAACAACCTACGCCAACCGAAACTGCCTTAAAAACAATGACATAGTACTACCTGCAGAGAATTCCCTGAGACCCAATCCCTCTAAAACCCAATTCTGCACGTTCCACCTTCGCGCAAAGGAAGCCAAGCGAAAACTCCAAATTGCGTGGAATGGTAATACATTAAAACACACAAACCAACCTATGGGAGTAACTCGGGACCGGTCTCCCACCTACAGATAACGTTGCATAAAAACGAGAGGGAAACTAACAACTAGAAACAACATACTCAGAAAGCTAACGGGAAGTAAATGGAGCGCAGGAACAAATCCCGAACACCACAAAATTGACTAAAATCTAGGAAAATCTTCCTCGGAAAAGTGCAGGATAAACCGCCTGAGTATTTTCCTCTTCCCCAGGTTCATTGGACCGGCCAGTCCCTAGACCTTAAAATGTGGAAAACTATGAATAGGATAAGAACGGGGGTCGCTCCAGTAAAATCAAACATGGAAAAATTGACCAAGATGATGTGAACTGTGGAGAAACACAGAATATGGAACACCTTACATGCAGAAACTGTCCTCATAGATGCACCCTCGAAGATGCATATCACAGAATACTCCATCCCAAGATTTGGATAGAGTATTCTGTAGCCCGATACTGGGCCGAAATTTTATGAATGACATGTTCGGACACGATAAACTAAAGTAAGTACTAGTTCTCAGACTATGGCTGTCGATGACACTGTCAAAAACTAACAAAACCGAAATTGAAGCGAAAAGTGAACAACCATACACATTTTTTCTCAGTAGTAAGCGGGCAATGGCAGTAATATAGATAGTTATGCGTCAAAATATGAAAAAAAATATCAAATCTTATGAATATTACAATTTTTATTAAAGTGAATTCTATATAAATGATTCTGGGTGTATACTCTATAAGCGATGATTATCCTGTACATAAAAAGAAGCTTTTGAAGAAGACCCAAGAAAAGTTTTAAATGAAATCCCGAATACTCACGAAATAATATATAGAGGAGATTATGTCTCGAAACTATTTTATGGTTTTATATAGAGGAGACTTTAAAGCTATAGCAGGCTTTAAAGCTATAGTAGTAAACTGGGCGAAAGTCATAAATATGTGTCAACACTATGGCTTAAAGATTTTAAATGGTGTTTTTGAACATAAAGACATACATCAATTCACCTGGTATCAACACAAGAGGGATCTAAAATTAATAATAGACTACATAATAATAAGAACATATTAAACTCAGAGTGCAAGATGTAAAGGTAAACAGAGTGTGCTTCGGATCACCACTTAGTAGTAGGGAAGATCTACACATACCTTTTGTGAAACGACAATATAGAAACAAACGGAGAAAAAAAACATTGTTCTACTCGATATTAGACAACGAAAATACACGTCTAATCTAGACCTGGAGACTAACACAAAAATTGAACGAAACCCAGCAACCTACGATGGTTGAATATGAGCATAGAGGTAGGCAGCAAAAGAAACTTTAGGAAGACAAGATCCAAAAACAAAAAGATCTTATTGGTGGGACCAGGAAATCGAAGAGAAGATCAAGAAAAAGATGAAACTGCATGAAAAGGTATTGCAAAATGGAGACAGAAAAACAAAAATACAATATAAAGAGTTCACTAGAAAAAAGTGCGAATACATAGACAACCATTTAGGACGCACAAAGAGTTCAGTATCAAGGAGAACCATATAAACTGTTAAAACAACGTTAGATCAAGTATGGTATTATATTTGACCATTGACGAAACATGGATAAAGTACTCCGAGAATCTACTGACGACTGACGGAAAAAAAAGTTCCTACAAACAACAACAAATATCAGCTGAAGGAAGAATATAGCTAAAAATAGAACAGAAGGGAGATACAGTTAAGAGGATGAAATTAAGCCTAACTTGCTCAATTAAGAAACAATAAAAAGATAATTAATTACTGAAAACCAAAAAGCAATCAGTAGCTAAGAATAAAAACGAAGAAGAAATAGGTTATGTGTGTTTATGAGCTGTTGATGACAATGGCACAAATATTCTAATTTGAAATTTAAATATGACATAATACATTTATTAACCAATAATTAGTTTTGTATGGTATATACTTAAATATTTTATCAAGAAAAACAGCTGTAGAACGATAATTAGTATTTATAGTGAAAATGGAATCCCATAACTTTCCACCTCTAAAGAATGACCGTATTCTTAAAGCTGCAAAAGGTGAAAAGCCTGACAAGATTCCTATATGGATTATGCGACAAGCTGGAAGATATTTACCAGGTAATATTCTAATATATAAGCGAGTATAAGTTTTGCAGATCAATGTGTATTCGTCATTGTTTTTAATGTTTTAATGGGACTGTTCTCAACAATATAAATAAAAAACTAAATATGGGACAATAAAGGGACAAAATAATCTAAAGAATCTTCTTGTTCTTATCGTGGATGATTAAATATAAAGTGCTACTGAACTTTTGATGCAAATAGAAGTGAAGAGAGGGCAATATTCCAACTTACAAAGAGGAAACGTCCAGACTCCTTAGTGCAATAAAGCTCAATTTCATGCCTACTCTTGTTTAGGTAACATCAATAGCTCACACCCATGAATGAATGGACTCTTTATTGAGCCTTCATAAATGTATGGCACAGTTTTAACTGATTCTTTACCATAGAATAGAGTTCACTGACTATTTTGTGCCTGCTACTGTTATAACAATCAGTTTTTACATTTTTTATTGTTTTATTACTAATCTACATCTCAAAGTACATACATTATAATGAAAATAATACATTGTTGATTACAGAACTCATTGAGCTTAGAAATAAATATTCTCAGTTGATATGGGAACCAAATAAAAACTTTGATTCTCTACTATTTGACTATTTTATTTATAACAATTTTACTTTTATATTTTAGAATTCATGGCATTTCGTAAAGAACATACCTTTTTTGAAATTTGTCAGACTCCCGAACTTGCCTGTGAAGTTACTTTAATGCCAATAAACCGCTTTGATTTGGATGCTGCTATTATTTTCAGTGATATTCTGGTTATACCCCAAGCACTAGGCATGACTGTAGAAATGCATCCAGGAAAAGTAAGTAAACATATTTCATTACTGTGAATTAGGAATATAAATCTTCTGCAGGCAAGTTTACATTTATAGTAAACATTTTTAAAGAAGATGTAAGAACAAATGCTTTGGTCGAGGGTCAGGGCCAGTGGAGGTTTGGCTCTGTCCGAAAATTGTCAAATAATTTAGGAATATTTAGAATGACATATTAGTTAGCATTCAGTAATTGTTTTGTATATAGTGTTGAGTTTGCAGATCATTATCATCCTGCACTTATTATTAGTGTATCTCTGGAGGCTCCTGATTACATATGAGGAAAAATATGATTTTCTACATGCAAGTTATGAAAAGTTATACAAAGGGATTGTGATGAGTTTTCTAGGTTGTGGTCTTTATATAAGCAAAAAAGTAGGGACTGTTACATGTTGTTTATAGAAAATACTGAGGAATCACTGAATTACAGTAAAAAATATTTTTGGAATTTGGTTAATTTTAAGAGGAATAGTTTTGATACTCCAAGTTGGACTTTTTGCAGATAATCTGCAAAATCAGCTAGATACTGGTCAGTATGGTTTCCTGCCTGGTAGTTCAATATCTACTAACCTATTAGTTTATACTGATTACATTAAATGGTGCTACTGGTTGAAAAGTTATTTTGTGTGTCAAACTGTAGGGCTTTACTTTAACTGAATACTTTCCTAGCTCTGGAGTGTCCTATGGTTTCCATTTAGAACCTTTACTCTTGTCAGTTTTGCTGCAGGTCTTTGATATACTGTGAAGTCTTAGCATATAATTGGACATCTTTGCAAACTGGTGTGTTAATAACAAACATAATTATTAATTTTCAAAAATGTCAGGTGATCCAGTTTTATAGATCTCTTGGGCCTTTTTTTTATTCTTGACATTTTTAATTACAATTTGGAGGATATTTTGATTTAGAGTGTGGTGTTTCAGAGAAATTTGTCCTTTAATCTGCATATAGATCTTAAATACAACAAGGATGTGACAGCTTGGTTTCATTAAGAGATATATCAGAGATTTTCATAGGATTACATCTCTACAAGCTCTTTACTTTTCTCTTATCTGCTTCCAACTTGTAAATACAACTGTGATCTCCCTGTTTCCCTTTACTTAAGTATGTATAGAAAAGTTAGAGTGACAATTAGACAATTTTTACTGCTAGTTCAAATCTACTTGTATAAAACAAAAAGTTATTATTTTAACATGTTTTAGGGACCTGTGCTGCCACAACCATTAACCATACAAAATATAAAAGATTTAGAGGTAGAAGGTGCAGTTGGAAGATTAGAGTATGTAGGTAAAGCCATAACTCTTACTAGACACAAGCTGGATGGAAAAGTTCCCTTATTTGGATTCTCAGGTGCACCTGTAAGTTTTTTTCTGTAAGAATTGATAGGACTCTATACTAATGCATTTCTTTGTAGTGGACCCTTATGGGATATATGATAGAAGGTGGTGGTTCCAAGACACTAAGCAATGCCAAAAAGTGGCTATATAGCCATCCAGAGACTGCTCATGAACTATTAGACTTATTAACAAATATTATCATAGATTATTTAGTAATGCAAATAAAAGCTGGAGCTCAGATCGTCCAAGTTTTTGATAGCAGTGCAGAATATTTGAATAAAACTTTGTATGCTCAATTTTGCCTACCTTATCTACACAGAATTTCATCTGGAATTAAACAAAAATTGAAAGATTCTAATTTGGAAGAAGTTCCTTTGGTGAGTAGTGATTAAAGTCATATAATTGTAAATACTAGTTTTGTTTTTTGAAATAATACAACAATTTATATGGTTCACCAAATAACCAAAATTATTGTAACTAGTACTTAGTGCCACAGGAAAATTTTCTGTAGAAGTAAAAACAAATGATGTGATTAATTTTAAAACAGCAGTGACCAGTGTTTTACAAGAAAGACTATATCAAAAGAAACTTCACAAATAAACTTCAAGATTAGCAAATTTTCATAATTTGTTTATGATACTGAAAAAAGGGGATTGCTGCAGCTTGGATCTTTATAGATGCTTATAGATTTCTTCACTGTTGAAATTATAAGTAATGTAGCTATTAATTGTTGATACATTTATTAGACTGTAAAAAAGTACCATTGACCACCTTCTTGTATTTCTCGAGACCAGGTTTTCTAAAACAGTAGCTGATATCACACAATGTTAGGAAGTTAAAATAAAACTAGTATTTCATTTAATTAACAATATCTTTAGCTATCACTTTTAACTGATAAATCAATTGAACATTGAGTTCCGTTTACAATAGATTGTTTTTATGTCTCCTTTAGAATAAAATGTGATCTAAATAATAAATAATGCATATGTTTAGATAGATTTCCAGCACAAATCTTTAAAAAGTATTTCTAAAAAAATATTAATAATAGAGAATATTTTGTAGAGAATCTTATCTTATTTTAGGTATTGTTTGCAAAAGGAGCCCATTTTAATCTGGAAGACCAAGCTGAATTGGGTTATGACATTCTGGGCATAGACTGGACTGTTGATCCAAGTACTGTAAGATCCAGACTGAAAAATAAAAATATTACAGTACAAGGGAATCTTGATCCTTGTGCCTTGTATGCTCCGAAAGAAGAATTGGAGAAAATGGTAGCTGATATGATAAAATCTTTTGGAACTGATAGATATATTGTTAATTTGGGCCATGGCATTTATCCAGATGCACCAGTTGAAAGTGTTCAAACTTTTGTTGAAGCAGTTCATTCCATTAATATTTAGTCTATGTTTATTAAATTTTTCGAGACATTCTACATATTAACTGACATTTCATGTATTTTCTTTTTAATTAAGGAGCAATTTCAAAATGTAAATAACATATTCTATGGGTTAATACAGCTCTCTGTTAAGTCACTGTTGTTTAATTTGACAATAGGTATATTCAATTTTATTTAAATATGACATAATTTTTTGTACCTAGTCTTTGAGAATTGAAAAGAAGTAAAGACTTGTCATGAGGTGTAGCTTCTTATTGCAAATATGTCAGTATTTATAGACATCCAAATTCACTAGTATTTTTCTGTATACAAAAAGAGAAAAACTAGTGACACTTGGCACTGGCTCTGAAAAATATATTGATAACCAAAAATATTGTTTTGACTATGCTTGTTTTAATATCAATGCATTATCTGCATACAATATTTATCAATATGTAATTTAATCTCCATGCAAAAACAACTAATTTAAGTGAGTTCACTACCTGAGCCCATTTTAGTATGGCTCAAGATTGACTTAAAACACAAAACAAGCTTATGGACACTGTGTCGATACTAAAACGAATGTTTTTCTGAGCCAGACAAACTTCGGCCCAAGTATGTTTTAGAATGTGACTTTGCTAGTGTATTGGTTTTCGCTTATATATATCATTTTATGTAGTTGCGTTTCGAGTATTCGATTACGAAATCGAACTGTTTGAGCTGTTTAAATTTTACTCTTAAGTGTTGAGGAAAATGAACTAAATTAGCTGTTTGTTAGTGAAAACTCACTCGCTTGAGGAGAAAATTCAAATCAAGGAACTTGGTAGACCACTTCCAGATTTGAATAGAACAATTACGCAAAGATCTAGCTCTTCAAATTTTAAAAGCCGTGTAAGGAAGTTTAATAGAAATACAAATTAAAAAATAGCTAGATTTGTAGATGTGATCAACAAAATGCATTTTCTGTTTCGTGTGTTTGGATTGGGGCGATTCTACATGAACAAGAACCACTCTTCTTCTTTTTCTTCTACGGCACTACAGCCCAAATTGAGCCTTGGCCTCCTTTCTTGGCTTTCCAACCGGACTCTTTCCCTGCATTCTAGCATTCAGTGCTCTTTTTGGTAGCCTTTTCTCTCCCATTCTTTCACATGTCCGACCCATTGTAATCTTTGTACTCTAATGAAGTCTGACAGTGGTGCTTCTTTCTAAAGTTGATAAAGTTCGTTGTTGTATCAACTTCCGGAAGATTCCGTTTTCACTCACAGGTCCTAGTATTCTCCTCAGTACTTTCCTTTCAAATGTGTCGAGTTTGCTTTTAGATGTTTCTTTCAGGGCCCATGCTTCAATGCCATAGCATGCTATTGGTCGAATTAAGGTTTTATAGATTCTCATCTTTGTATTTCGGTGGACATTTTTAGACCGAAATATATGGGTGAGGGCAAAATAAGCTCTGTTTGCCCTCGTTATACTCTTCCATTCTGTTCCGTATTTCTTCATCTTCTGATCCGTCGGCATATATTTCTAGTCCCAGGTATGTAAACTTTCAACCGTTTCAATGTCATCATCGTGTAATGTTTTGTGGGACTATATTCCTTCTCGTGTGAATCATTATTTCTGTTTTCTCTGTGTTAAATTAAAGACCTAGCCTTTTTGTTGGCGTTTTTAATTCTGTGTATGTTTCCTCTGCTCTTGTTGATGTTCTATTCATAATATTAATATCATCCGATAAGCGGCCAGTTGAATCATTCGGTTGGTCAGTAGGTTTCCTAGTCCAGTTTGCATTTAACTAACCGCATACTCCAGAGCCAGGTTAAACAAAGTTGGGGCCAGCCCATCTCCCTGCTTTAGTCCCTGCGAAATTTTGAAAAAGTCTGTCCGGTGGTTTTGTATTCGTACACATGCAAGTTCCGCATAAGCATTCAACGTGAACGTCCACGCCAAAGTGAAGTTCCAGAAAAACCAAACAAACAAGGTCTAAATCGTGAAACGTGTCGCGAAAAACGGCAAACAGCGTAAAAAACGGTCGCGAAATCCTGGGGAACTCGCGAACGGATCCACGGTGCCGATAGTGACGCTTTCTGGACGTGAAGACCACCTGAAAATAAACAATAGATGCGAAATTGCCATGTGGAGGCGTAAAATGTGCATGTAAGGCGCCAAAACTGGTAATTAGCTTCAAATCGAACGGACGTGGCGCCAACCGGCCGATAAATCCTTGTATACCGGTTATTGACAAATAAGGGGGCAAGGAGATGTTGACATTGGTGCCTGTCTGGAGCTCTTCGCCGTAGAGTTCTTCCGAAATACGAAAGTGCACGAACACCCAGGTAAAGACACACACATACTACACACACTCTCTCACACACACACATACCACTCATTCACCCATTTCACACACTTACTAATTAAGTTCACTAACACAATTTCCTACACTTATCAATATATCCTATCCAATTTCCTACACTTATAAATTTTCCTCAAAATAATAAACACACCAACACCTTGCTAATACATACCTAAAACCTACAATATATCACGAACACGATCCAAACCCCGAAAACAGCAAGATCCCCCTCAACCAACGAAATCAGAAGTCGAATGGCAATCTGTTTCCGACTCCCAATCCTCTTCTTCGTCACACACCTCACACGTGTCAGTCAACATTGATGGACATGAACCAAGGACGCCACAGAAATGGAAGCAGGCTCTCAGTGAGATCTGCCACCAAAATCCTGAGGCGGCCAGCGAACACCTCACACCAATAGTCCACAAAATTAAAAAAACAAAAAACAGCAACACCAACCCCTGAAACCATCCGAAAAATCCTTCAAAATTTCTTTATGTCTGCTGCTCCTGATCAGGAACATATAAATAATATTTTTAGTTTCTCTGTATTCACAAAATCAAATATAATGACTCAGCTTATAGACAAAATGTTATTATGCAGAAAAAACATATAAAAACAGAACAGGTATATTTTAAACATTATTATAAACTTTATAAGATTCTGAGGTACATTCGAATTATCATTGCAAGGTCACGATGAAACGGAAAAATCGACAAATAAAGGATTTTTCTGCGAGAATTAGCAACATATTTAAAGATACCTCTAAAAGTATACAAAATGAACTATTGGACTGTATGCTTGGCGTTTACTATGATGAGGTGACTAAAGAAATTAACAAATCAAACTATGTACCTGTAATTGCTGATGAAACTATATATGTAGCTACCGAATTTCAGTTAGTTATTACGATATATTGTCTCCAATAAGGCAGTAGAAAGATTTTGGAAATTTGTAAATCCTCGGAAAAAAGTTAATAGCGAAAAGTTATGATGATATGTCAGTAATGAGCGGAGGTGTAAATGGGATGCAAAAAATAATTTATCCATTTACAAACTATATACATTGCTATGCACATCAGATGAATCATTTAACTGGGATTTGTTCTTTTTTTACTACATCACCTCAAAGAACAAAGGCATTGGATGAGATAGCTCATAAACGATTATCACGATCATCACGAGCTAGATGAAATTTTCAATCACGTGGAGTCAATACAGTATGAATATCGAAATGAGCTGATATAAGTCCTGGATATTTTAGATAATGACAAAAGTATTAAATTGAATTTAACGATTGAGCAAGCCGGTGCATATAAGCTTAGATTATAGAATAAAGATTTCATATTTTGGTTAACAGTTTTTCGTAAAATCATGCTCATGATTCATACTGACTCCTTTAAGGCTATACAAGATCTGAAAATATTTGAAAAGAACGCAAAAAATTCTTGATGAAATCTTCTTCTTCTTTAAGTGCCGTCTCCCAATCGGAGGTTGGATATCATCATCACTATATTTACTCTATCTACTCCTGCTCTGAAGAGTTCTATAGAACTGCATTTAAACCAGCACGTTTAATTCTTCAATCATGACACTCTCCTTCTTTCTATACTCCTTCCTCCTCTTATCTTTCCCTGTATTGTATATTGTAACTTTCTTATTTTTATTGTGTTTATTATTTCGCATTCTTTGCCCATTTCTCGCAATACTTCCGTGTTAGTTTTCTTCTGTGTCCATGCTATTCTAAGCATCCTCCTGTAACACCACATTTCAAAGGAAAACTTATTTATGTGTTCTTGCTTCAATGTCCAGCTTTCAAGTCCATATTGCAGAATCGAAAACACGTAGCATCTCAGTGCTCTTATTCTCAGTTCTAATCTAAGGTCTTTGTTGCAGAGAATTGTTTTCATTTTTACAAACACATTTCTTGCTATTTCTATCCTGGCTCTTATTTCGGTTATTTGATCATTATTGTCTGAAATCCAGGTCTGAAACATACATTTCCCACATGTATGTTTGTCGGTATATTTGTTGATATTATCTTTGATATTATCATGTATTTGGTCTTTTTTATATTCATTTTTAATCCATATTTTTCACAGAAACTGTTTATTTTGTTTAGCAGTAATTGGAGTTCTTCAGCAGAGCATGCCATAATCACGGTGTCATCTACATATCTTATGTTGTTAATAGATCTTCCGTTAATTACTGTTTCTTCACTTTGAGATAGTAATGCTTCTTCAAAAATGGCTTCACTATATACATTAAATAGTATCTAATGGGGACATAATACATCCCTGCCTAACTCCTCTCCTGATTTCAATTTCTGGACTGGGTTCGTTATCTATTACGATTTGTGCTCTTTGATTCCAGTAGAGGTTTGTTATTATTCGTAAGTCTCTATGGTCTATAATTTTTGTCTTTAGAATTTGGACTAATTTTTCATGTCTTATTGCTTCTATTTAACTATTGTCCGATAAGTAGATAGTATTTTCTCTGAAATGGTCTTAATAAATTCCTATAAAGTTGACTGCATTCCATTGTAAAATTTAGTTTGAACTTGAGTTTTGTTGCAAGAGTTTGTTTTTGCCAACTGGAAACCATGACCATCTACAAGCAAACGTTGTTGTGTGAATAACCCGGACGTTTTTTGCTACATATGTGGCGAGTACATTTTAATAGGAACGTAGAAAACCAGTTTGTGATTTTATAAAAACGGCATATCAAGCCTACTTTCGTGTTCATTTAGGAAATCAAGATAGATCGTGGGCTTCACATGTAGTATTCAAAACTTATCTTGAAAACTTACAACAGTGGACAAAAAGACAACGAAAATGTTTAAAGTTTGGTGTTCCAATGGTATGGAGGGAACCAAAAAATAATTTTGACAATTGCTTTTTCTGTCTTGTAAATATAAAGGGCATTCATCGTAACAATCGACATACGTGGACATATCCTAACCTGGATTTAGCAATAAGACCAATTCAACGTCAGCTTGAGCAGATACCCATTCTAATATTTAGCAGTCTACCTAAGTTACCAGAGGATAATGTCAAAACTTTATCTGACGAACTACAGACTAATACATTTGAGGAAAACGACACTGTTTTTGAAGGGATTCAACATGTCCCGAGCGCTTTGCTCGGGAAGAGCTAAGCGATCTTATCAGAGATTGTTACGCAGAAACAATCAAGTTACTTAATGAAGAAAACCTAGACATTATTGTTAAGCTCTTTAACGACATCTACGATACGGGCCAGATTCCAAAAGATTGGCTTCGATCTACATTTATCGCCCTACCAAAAACACCACGTGCGAACTTCTGCAAGGACCACCGACTAATAAGCCTAATGAGTCACTTTTTAAAACTTTTCCTGAGAATACTTCACACTAGATTTTTTAAGAAACGTGAAGAGGTCAGTGGATGGAGTCAGTTTGGTTTCAAAAATGGACTTGGCACCAGAGAAGCGATCTTTAGTATGCAAACATTGATACAGAATTGTTTAGATCAAAGAAAGGATGTTTTTATCTGTTTTCATCGATTACGAGAAAGCATTCGATAATGTAAAACACGAATTGATGATAAAATACCTACAAGAGCTGGGATTGGATGCAAAGGATATAAGAATCATCGCCAATCTGTATTGGAATCAGACAGCAACAGTACGTCTTCAAAATTCCAACGAAACAGAAGATTTCTCCATTAAAAAAGGAGTAAGGCAAGGTTGTATACTGTCCCCGATGCTGTTCAATTTATACGTAGAAAAAGCCTTCGCAGAAGCAGTGGAAGACTCTAATAAGGGTATTAAAGTTAACGGCATATTTATTAATAACATCAGGTATGCCGATGATACAGCCATAGTGGCAGATAACGTCGAAGATCTACAATGCCTTTTAAATGATCTAACTCTTGCAAGTGAAGCTCGGGGTTTGAAAATAAATATCAAGAAGACAAAATCAATGATTATAAGTAGAAATGATTACTCCAACGCAAAGATATATGTCTCTGGAGAAGAAATCGAACAAGTCAGGCAATTCAAATACTTGGGATGTTTGCTGAATGAGGGTTGGGACCCCGAGAATGAAATAAAGAGCAGAGTTGAACAAGCCAGAAATGCTTTTTTGAGGCTTCGTAAGTTTCTGACTGATCGCAAATTGGACTTCAACCTCCGATACAAGATGCTTAAGTGTTACGTGTGGCCTGTTCTCCTGTACGGAATGGAAGCATGGACGTTAAAGGCCAGTTCCATTAACAAACTTGAAGTGTTTGAAATGTGGTGCCTGCGTCGAATGCTCAGAATATCATGGACGGACAGGGTCAGAAATGAGGAAGTACTCAGAAGAGCGGGCTTACAGGATAGGGAACTTTTTAATTATGTAAAAAGTAAGAAGACTGCATACTTGGGACACATTATACGAGGAGAACGATATACTTTTCAGCAACTGATACTCGAAGGGAAGATAGAGGGTAGGAGAGGTCTCGGACTTAAAAAAATGTCATGGCTGCGCAATATTCGACAATGGACAGGAATCCACAGCTATGAAATGCTTCGCAATGCTGCTAAAAACAGAATTATTTAATCCAGAATATTTAACATCTCACCTGACAAGACGATGTACGGTGGACGCCTACGCAGAAATGCACGGCACCTTAAGAAGAAGAAGAACCTTTCAAAGGATTCTTATTCATCCAGACACCAAAATTACATACTACCATAATAGAAAAAAAAGATCTTCTGCCTTTTTTTTCTCAGCAAGATGATATGATTTTGTGTAACAATATTAAAGGACTGTTAGAAAAAATAGGTGTATCGGAGTATACACCAGATCACTTTCGTCTTTTTATCGACAGTTCCAAACAAAGTTTAAAGTGCATCTTTGCTTTTTCTTGCTTTTATTAAAGCGAAGTTTTCGATAATATTTATATTTAATTCATTTAGCAGATCCTCTTTAATGAATAATAACTGCTAAGGAGTTCAAAGTTTCTTAGGAAATTGCATTTCTTAAGTAGACTTTTTATAGTGTCGAAAGAGAGCGTTCGCCACTTGCATTTGCGACCATTATGGAGAAAAAAATACGCAGACAAATATTAACGTTTGAAAATGAATATATCAATTTATTTTCGTAACAATTCTAAAGGAGTGTCTATTGTTAATTGGAGAAGAGACGTTAATAAATGCTTTAAATGAACACGTTCTTGGGGAAAATGCTCGTCCAAATCCTCCTTGTATTTTTGTTGTATTCGTTAGTGGATCTGAAAATACCTTCATTTTACGTAGTTTTTAGTTTAAAGAAAAATTCAAATGCTCTTCAATATAATTTAGAACTATCAGATCGGCGAATAATCTCCGACTTAAGATTGTCTATTATAAAAACATAACATTGTGTTGGCGTTTTTTTCTTTTTGGCTTAAACTTGCCTCCAAATTATTTTCTCCTAATTGCAATTTTTTTTTATGCAATTTTGATCTTCTTCTCAGCATAATTCTCGTTCCCTGTTGACAACATTCCTAAGGCCTCGTAGTGATCAAAACGATCACGTAAGAAATCAAAGTAATCTGCTAAAGATGATAATAGATGAGCGGTTGTGTTTAAATCCATATTTTTCTTTTGTACTGCTTTATTCATCTCATTAACTTTTTGTAAGACGTCAAGCTGTCTTGATGTCTCGAAATAATTTTATCATTCGCCGTCGTCGTCTCGACGACGAATGATAAAATTATTTCGTTTTCCAACAAATCAAGTTTTTCCGATAGAGAAGCTGTTTTAATTCCTACTACATTTTTCTCATTTATATCCGTTTAATACATATATTTTTTAATAAATATGACGTTTTGCCCTTACCTAAATTTGCTCGTTTAATAATATGATCTTTTAAAATTGATCATATTCTGACAATAGTTTCCAGTGAACCTAAGTAGTTTCCTTTTCGTTTTTCGCCAATTCTTTCATGAGTTGCTTTAAATGCCAATTCACTGGTAGCCAGAAACTTTATTACACTTATGGTTCTTTCTAGTACTTTAACCCAACATTCTTCCGTAGTGCTTATTTCCTTTTGGAGTTCTACATCAACTTTTCTTTGCTTTAATAAGCGAGTCGTATACATTTTCATATTATCTATATGATCATTGGATCTTTCATGTTCGTCAAATCTTTCCTTACTTTTATTATATATACATCGGTTTAAAACGTCTTTCGACGTTGTCCGATACCTAAACACCATCTCTTCCTATCTTCGCAGTCGTTTGTTGTTAAATTTCTTTCTCTCATGGACTTGTTTACGTCGTGTTGCCATTCTAATCTGGGTCTTCCTCTTTTCCGTCGACCTATCGGTTGCCATTCTACTACTTTTTTGGGGAGTCTTGTTGCTGGCATCCGTTGAACATGCCCATACCACCTTAACTGTTTGTTCTCTATATCTTGAAATATATTTCGTTCTATTCCCATACGTTGTTATTACATCATTTCTGATTCGGTCTCGTCTGGAAATACCTAAAGATCTTCTCATTGCATCCATCTCTACTGCTTCTATTCGCTTTTTGTTCTTTTCACTAATTCTCCATGTTTCAGCGCCATAAAGAAGAGTAGTTTTAATCATGGTCTCATATATATTAAATTTTCTTTCTTTCGTTATCTCTTTACTCCACAGATACCATTGAGACATCCTAAGACTTTCTTTGCTTGTGTGATTCGTTTTCTCTATTTCCCGTGTGTCAGTTCCTATATTGTCAAAGGCAACACCCAAGTAGTCATAGCTCTGACAGCAGGAAATATGTTGTCCGTTTTCGAGGTCTATGTTATCTGACTCGTTTCCAATACAAAGATATTTGGTTTTTGTTGTATTGACATTCATTCTCCAGTCGTTATATTCTTCTATCAGTTTTCTAAGCATGTACTGCATGTCTTCCCTGTCGGTCGCTAGTACTACCTGGTCATCAGCAAACTGGAGTGTATATATACATTCATTGCTAAGCTCTATACCCATCCTATGCACCTTTCTTTTCCATCTTTCCAATGCTGCTGCAACATATATCTTGAATAAGGTTGGTGAGATACAGCATCCCAGTCGCAAGCCTTTTGTAACCAGGAATTCTTCCGTTAGATATTTTCCTGTTTTTATCTAAGCCTTTGAGTCTCTATATAGTTCTTGTACAGCATTTATCAATGTGTGGTTGATGTTGGATCTTTTCAACGTTGTCGACAATTTTATTAAGGGGATGTTGTCATATGCTTTTTGCAGGTCTACAAAAGTAATATGAGTTTCTAGATTCTTAGCCGATCTTTTTTCTATTATTTATTTAAGACAAAATACGTTATCGGTGCACAATCTTCCTGCACGGAACCCGCTTTGTTCTTCCTCTTCATTGTGCTTATATTCTTCCTCCCTGCTATCATATTTCTCAAAATTCGTCCATACAGTATGCTCAGGGTGCTGGTTACCGATATGCCTCTATAATTATTACAATTCCTTTTGTCCCCCTTTTTGTGTATTGAGGACATGTATGCCGTTCTCCATTGTTCTGGTACTGGGTGTCCATTTAGACACTGATTGATCACATAAGTTCAGTTTTCAAATAGTTTATGAGTTCCATTATTAAACATTTTAGCATAGATTCCCTCAGGTCCAGCGGATTTACCATTCTTTAGGGTCATTACAGCCTTCCTTACTATTTCGATGTCTACCCTCGCTTCCTCCTCTTGTATATGTACTGACTGTGTTGGGGAGTCGCTAGGTATTCTTGTCTTGTCTCTATCAGCAAGCTTTCATAGTGATCTTTCCATTGTCTTGGTTTTATGGTGTGTATGCGTGCTTTGTCTTTTCCTGTATTTTTTACTGATTGTATAAAATTCCATACCTCTGTACATTGCTTCTCTCCGATGTATGTATTGATTTCTTGACATTTCTGATCCCATGTGTTATTCTTTTCTTGTTTTATCATTTTTCGCAGTTGTCTATCGGTTTCTTTGTAAGCTTGATGGTCTTCAGTATTTTTTATATTTAGCCATTTTAGATGCTATTCTTTTTTCTGTTTTCCCATATATTCGATTTCTTCGTTCCACCATATCTTGTTACTAATTTTGTTTTGCTGTATCCCGAGTGTCTCCTTAGAGGCCTAAATTAGTGTGTTTATTGTGTAAACTAGCAATAATATTCTCGTAAATATCTGAAAATGTTTGTCTCTCTATTTCTCGTAGTTTTTCATCCAGTCGTCGTTGGTATGTGAGTGATTTCAAATGATATCAGTATGCACTTTGGGTTAGACAGATGTCGTGTAATAAATATAGTCAAGGGAGAGGGTTATCCTGGAGGATTCGATATGCAAAATAGCCAAAACATCGAGGCTATGGGCGAAAATGACATGTATAAATATCTAGGAGTAAAGCAAGCGCGGAAAATTGATCATAAACAAATGAAAATCGAATTAACATCAGAGTTTATACGAAGGGCAAAACAGCTACTCCGCTCACATCTTAATAGTAAAAATTTGTTTAAGGCATTAAACACCTACGCATTTTCCGCGCTTAGCTACTCATTTGGGATTATTAAGTGGACTATAACGGATATAGAGACTCTTCAGCGAAAAGTACGAACACACCTCAGAAAGGCACAAAAACACCATCCTTGAAGCGCAGTAGAAAGAAAGAATTACCGCGGTATTTAGGAGGTCGAGGACTTATGGATATAAGACAACATGTAGAAAAACAGATTACTAGTTTAGCTTATTTTCAGGTGCAGTCGGAGACATCTACTCTTCATCGCGCGATTTGTGCAGTAGATGATACAACACCGATCAAACTGAGGGAACAAGAAATGCGCATAAACCATCTTACCAAGAATGAAAAAATGCGCATCTGGATGGGTAAACCTCTGCACGGGCGACATCCGAATGAGGTCAGCCAAGACTATGTCAATTTAGCGTCGAACTATTGGTTGACATCAGGAAAGATGTTCCCTGAAACAAAAGGTTCATTACTTGCCACTCAGGATCAGGTTATACCAACCAAAAATTACCTGAAATATATTGTCAAACACCCTCAGGTCCAAAACGACAAATGCCGATATGGATGTCAAGCCCAAGAAACCATCCAACATCTTACCGGGGGCTACCAGGCATTTGCTGCAACTGAATATAAGGAACGGCATGACTCAGTAGGGAAGATCCTCCACCAAGAGATTGCTTTTAAACTGGGACTTCTACAAACAAACCATCTCCCATATTATCAATACGTTCCTGAGAGTATGCTTGAGAATGACAACTACAAGCTATAATGGGATCGCACTGTGCTCACAGACCAAACTGTAGCACATAATAGACCAGATGTCGTGCTAGTTAATAAACTAACGAGACAAACAACATCAATCGATGTGGCGATACCTAACAATAATAATCTGCGTGTTAAGTGCAATGGAAAGATCGCCAAGTATAGAGATCTGGAAATACAAATAAGAAGACAATGGAGAATGGAAAGTACCCAGACGACATACTATTATTCTTTTTACCACTGGAGTCATCCCGAAAAACCTCCTAGAAAACATAAAGAAGCTGTGTCTAAATGAACATCTATATAAGATCATGCAGAAAGCTGTGCTACTTTCGATGTCCAGATGCATGCGAAAATTTTTGGGAGATACACCGACGTACCAAGTCACCTAGGACTCGATAACATGGAAAGAGTCCCACCCGACCTCAATCCTTTTGATACCGTAGGTATCTGGGATGAGTGAATTTTCCCATGGAGGGAGTGTGAGCCGTATGGCTAAATCTAAATCTAAAGCTAAATCAGAGAACGTGAGAAACATTCTTTGCACCAAAAAATTGGCCATAACAATAAAATTAAAAGCACTAAAACATTAAATATAGTCCCCGTTTATGTATGGCTGCGAAACGTGGATACTCAAATACGGCGATATCAACAAGTTAAACGCATTTGAAATGTGGCTGTACAAAAGTTTTTCCCTGTCGTACTACCTAGCAAAGATATTTAATTTTCTTTGGAATGTGCTGGATAGAACATTACCGTATTTTCTTCTTGCCATAATTAGGGGAAGGTGGGGTAATGGCGACACCTGAAGCTTTAGATCGATATAACACATTACTGAAAAGTAAATATATAGATTTAAATAATGCATTATATTGCTGGACTAATTAGCTCATTATAGGTGTAATTAGAAATTTATATTCACACTTTCATAAGAGTTATTTCATACTAAAGAAAAGATTAGCAAGTGTCGGCATTCCCCACCATACTGGGGTAATGCCGACACTGTTGGTGGGTAATACCGACATAATATTGAAAACTTAGAAAATACTAAAATTATAACAGGAGACCTGCAGCAGGTTGAAAATAAACATTTTATTAAACTGAACTAGGAAAACATATTACAAAAAAATTAAAACAATTTTTATAAAAATCAAGAAAAAAAAATTATTTTGCACAAAAGTCACAGACATAATTTTCTGGTGTATCATAACCGGTACATTCGGAATGAGCCCAATTAGAACATAAAACACAACGATACCATAGTTCGTTTGCCCCAAACTCTCCACAAATTACACATACTTCTTTATTGGAGTCACAGTAGACATCAAACAATGTGTCATCGTCGTCATCATCATCGCAGATGGTTTTAATATCAATATCTTCCAACCAAGAGCTGGAATCGAAATGAATGCGTCTTTTGTGCGTTTTCTTTACTCCTTTTAAACCCACATTTTTGAGAACTGATTTACCCTTAGTAACTCTTTTAGATGTTTTCTCTGGTCTGTTCTCTTGACCTCTTTTCCTATTTTGTTTTTCTTTTTTTATATTATTTGCTTGCTCTTTCTTTTTTATCTTTTCTTCTTTTCTTAGTTTGGTATCTTCAAGGATATGTTTTATAGGAGTAGATGTCATAATAATAGAGTGTTGTTTTTTATTACCATTATCATTATTAGCCAGCTTTTGAGATGTTATTTCTGATAATGGTAAAGGCGACAATTCTACTATGCTTGTTTGAAAACTAGTGGATGGCTGTGGATCTGTATTGACCTCCAAATTATTGAAGCTAGTAGATTCATCAGTACCAATTTGGTCAACTAATTGGTCAATTTCGTGGTCAACTTTTCTTCAATAATGATGTGTTGGATAAGTTGAGATGGAGCAAAATCGTCTTCTGAAAACTTATTTGAGTGAAAAGGATAAATTCCAGTTGAGCTGAATCCTGATACAGCTTTTTCAATGGTGGCAATTTTCATGTAGGCTTTGTTAAATATTGACGCAATTTCATAAGGTGTGATTTTTTGGTGTAAATTATTTTTCATATAATAATCACATTCTCTGTTGAAACCATTTTTTAATGGGCTATAAAAAGCCACATCTAGAGGTTGTAGTCTGTGGGACGTGTGTGGCGGTATCGATATAACGTGAATATAGTTAGCCTTACAAAATTCATAATTGGTCAATGTAATATGACTACCATGGTTGTCCAGGACCAATAACAGAGGATCGTCTTCGGTAGGTTTCGCAATCTTTGCAAAATGTTGGAGCCATTCAAGAAAGAGTTTCTCATTAGACCAGCCATTGTCTGAACAACAATATATTGATCCTACAGGTCCATCTTTTTGCAAAAGGGGTGTCATACGTTTTCTGGGGAAAATAAACATTGGCGGTATGTAATTACCAGAAGCACTCATTGCACAGACGACAGTTACGTTCTTTCCTCTTTCCCAACTTGTCATGCTTCCAACCTGTTTTTGACCTTGTGGAGCAAGGATTTTTCCTGGCCGTTGTACAGATGATATGCCTGTTTCATCCATATTGTATATTCTACTTGCAGGAAATTTATATTTCGTTAAAACTGCATCAAGATTATTATAAAACAATTCAACTTCAATTTTATTAAAAGCACGTGCTCGATTTATGCTAGTAGCCTCGGGTTTTCTCAAGCTAATCTTGTGACGTTTTATAAAACCCCTTAACCAATCCATTCCTGCCATTTTGTTTTCCTTATTAAAACTATGTTTTACGGAATTTTTTTCAGTTAAGTCATAAGCTAACCGTCATAGCTCAGTAATCGTAATACCATAAAATATGTTTGCTAACAAAAGCACATGTTCAGCAATTTGCTTTTCTTGTTCGACGGAAAATACTGTTTTACGTCCTAAAACAGGTTTAGTTGACTGTTTAGATTTGATTCTGTCTATCAAAGTTGTTCGAGGTATGTTAAACTCTTTCGATACACTTTTTACTGATTTGCCATTCTGAACCTCTTTCATTGCATTGATAAGACTTTCTTCACTCCATTTAGCCTTTTGGGTAGTTCGTGGCCGTGATCGCACCATCTGAAAATAACAGAAAATATGTCAGTATGAGAAATCTACATAGTTAAAATATATGTGTATAAAAATTGTTCAAGGGGCAATACCGACACTGTCGATATTGCCCCGCTCGTACTGACGGTATTACCCCACTGAAGGATTTGGCAAAAAATATGTAATAGTTAAATAAATAATAAAGTTAGCTTTATTTAATTTATGCCACAATGTACTTTAATGAACAAGATTTAACAAATAATAAAGATAAAAATCAATACCCAATGTTTAGTTATACTTACCACGTGTTCAATAGAGGTTAGAAATTAGATGAGATTCGTAAAAAACAACACTTGTAGACGTACAAGGTCAACCTTTCACTTCAACTAACTAACAGCGACTGGCCGTAGTTATCATGATTGGCGCCACAGATTCGATGTATTTGGCAGCGTATTGGTATACATAGGAAGTTGGAAGGGGGGGTGTCGGTATTACCCATGGTGTCGGAATTGTACCATCTTCCCCTACTAGATCATAAGCATAGCCTGAACTTCTAAATAATGTATACATTAAACTGCATGTCACAAACCTCTGACTTGAACTACCACTACTAAAAATAAACTAGGTAGACAGAGTTAGAAATGAAGAGATCCTTAAACGGATGAATTAAACAACACAACCGATCCATATAATAAAAAGATGCAAGCTCGAAAACTTCAGTCACATTATGGGACACCCTGAAAAATATGATGTGATCATCTAACCATACAGGAAAATATCCAGGGTACACGTCATGAAAATATCATGATAGCGAATATTGTAGCCAGAATTATATTTAACTGTCTGTGATGGTTATGAAACTAGAAGAAGAAAAGGATATTTGTCGTTATATGTTATAGCCAAATGGACAGTGTTTTCAAATTAAATGTGTAATTGTTTCTTGTATCTATAAAATTAAAGTTAAATCCAAATGCCGTGTATATTCAGTTGTTAGTGATCTAATGACCCCACGTTTATAATTGACTCCCTTTTAAATTTCGTTGACCTGTAAGAGGTCGACACAGACACCTTTGGGAACCCCTGGTGTAATGCATTCTTTTTTGCGTTAAGATTAAACTTATTTTGACGCAATATCCAATGATTTTTGTAATACAATTTATTAAATTTTAAATTTAATAATTAATTATACAGTTGCCGAATATGGAATATCTAAAGTAAAAGTACGTCGGTGTCAATGACTAAAAAATCATATATATTTAGTGGCAAAAATCATCTCCTAGTTTAGAAACAATCCGGATGTCAATTTATCAGTCCACCAACGCTGTAAGAGGAAGTTAACCATTGGTCGGAAAGACACTCATGAGATATATTCTATATTTGATAAATAAAAAACTAATTTTAGTTCCATTTCAGTTCAGAATAAATTTATAATAACAATTCATGTGATAACGAGTGTCGAAGATCAATTGTAAACGTGTCAGTGTCCTCAAATCTAGTCGGCGGCTTTTGGTTCCTAACGAATTTCTTCATTTTTAATTTCTTCATAGATAACATTTTTAGAAACGCGGGGTTTCTCTCTTAATTACTCTAACAACGGAGTGAATAAACTAAGAGACGATTCTCAAGTGTTTAACAGATGTTTTTGGAGTTTTAGTGCCTCATGAAAGGAATATTTGTACATAGTGAACACATTGCAGTATCTCAACCGTTGTAACGGGAGTCTTTCAAAAACCCATCCTAAAATCGGATAATAAGGTTAGTTTTTCATAATGTCTGATTCATCCAAATTTATTAAATATATGTAACAGAATTTGATATCGATAAATGACTGATTCTCGCCAGTTTTAGCCAGGTTTTAATTTAGTAAATAAAACTTTACGATTTCCAGGTAAACAATTTTAAAAGACATTTATATTACTAAATAAGTATAAATAAAGTAGTTTCAAACTGACATTAACAGCATAATATTAGGCCCTGACAAAACTCATAATTTCTCTAAGAATTTTATTATGTCTTTAATATCAAAAAGCATATTAGTATCGATGAATCTTAGTCAGAATTATCTCTTTAACGGCCGATTTCATAATCAAGTTAAAGGAGACTTTAAATTTAAAGTTGCCTTTAACTTTAGATTTTCATTTCATAATCAATTTAAAGGATCCTTTTTATCAAAAGCCGACTTTAACTTTAAAGTGAGGATTTCGGACCTTTAAAGTTGTTAAAGCTTCCTTTAAAGAGTACATAACCTATTTTTTTTTAATATTTTAAATTTTAACAACACTGTTTGAGGTTAACGTAACTGCCATCCTACATTGCAAATTATTTTGTATTATAATAAAATTCTTTAAACTATTATACTTTAAAAGGCAATTATGCATAATTTTGAAACATCTAGTTCAAGTTCATCTGATGAGGAATTTATAGCGGTTAGGAGACCAAAAATTTATAGATTAAGAATGAACTATTTTGAACACTATGATGATCTGGATTTTTACCAAAGATTTAGGTTAAGAAAAGAGACAGTTTTATGCCTTCTACATAAAATAGAAAACCAAATATCTTTGCCTACAAACAGGTATGATATTAAAAATTTGTTGATATTAAAATAATTACAATGCTATTTATTTCAGAGGTGGATGCATTACTCCCATGCAACAAATTCTGTTGGCTTTAAGATTTTATGCATCAGGAAGCATGCAATTAAATGTAGCTGATTTTATGGGAGTGTCCAGAGCTTCAGCATGCAGAATTATAAAAAGAGTGTCATTTGCAATTGCATCATTAAGGCCACAATACATATATATGCCTAAAAATCACCAAGAGATGGAAAAAGCTGTTGAAGATTTTTACAAGATTTCTTCATTCCCTAGAACAATTGGTGCAATTGATTGTACTCTAATAAAAATAGATTCTCCAGGAGGTCAGGATGCAGAAATTTTTAGGTCCAGAAAATCATTTTTTGCATTGAACGTCCAGACAGTGAGTGATGCAAAATTGAAAATTAGGGATATTGTTGTAAGGTGGCCAGGATCTGTACATGATCAGACAATTTTTAATAATAGTAGGCTGAAGCATAATTTTGAAAGTGGTATGTTTGGCCATTACATGTTGGTTGGTGACAGTGGATACAGTTTAAAACCATATCTAATGACTAAATTGCAGCAAACATCAACACCGGCTGAGGATTTATTTAATGAATCAATCATAAGAACAAGGAATGTAGTAGAACGGCAATATGGTTTGTGGAAAAGAAGATTTCCTATACTCCGTTTAGGAATGAGACTGAAATTAGAAAATACCATGGCTGTAATTGTTGCAACAGGAGTGCTTCATAATATTGCCATTGATATGGATGACAATTTTCCTGAGAATGGGCCTGAAGATGATGCAGATGATGAATTAGAACCCATACAAAATAATGAAAATATGTCAGAAAACATAAGAACTTTACTAATAAATGAACACTTTGGTAGATTGTAAATATATTTATTAATAAAAACAAAATGTAATAAATTTTTTTATTTATTCATTTTCCCCAATTGTTTTTGTTTTAATTGTATGTCTAAATCCATTAATTTGATATTTTTTTCATATATATTTTTTTCTCTTTCTTCCTTAATTTTTCTTTCTTCCTCTTCTGCTTTATAATTCTTTTCTTCCCTTTCCATCCTTTTTCTTCTTTCTTCTTCTTCTGCTTTAAACGTTCTCAGGAGAAGTCTATATTTTCTCCTGTAATATCTTTCTTTTGCAGAAAAAACTGGATTTCTAATTGTTGGCAGCAATTTTTTGTTTTTGGGCGTTTGTAAATTAGTTGGAACATATGTACTCCAATTTGTTTTTTCCTCTGTTTTGGGTTTCTTTCTTAGTTTGTCAGGTATTTTTTCTTCCTACAACAAAATATATTATTTCATCATAAAATGAAATGTTTGCTTTTGGTGTTTAATGTATACAAATGATGTGTGGGTGGGAAAAGGGAGTGGAAGAAAGACTAAAGTAGTGGAAACCGGCCCTTGAAGACCATTGATTAAAGCTGAGTACAAAAGCAGAGTATTTGGAAGTTCTTTTAAAGACAGTATTTCAAATTCAAATAGCTTAGCTTGGATGGACAAGATCATGCAGAAAGTCACAGTTTTAGATATTTATGATTGGTGCTACAGAGGTAGGTAAGTATGATTCGTGAAAGGTCACCTTATAAGATTGGATAATGACAGAACACCTAGTGGACTTATCGAGAGAAGTCAGCATGGGATAACTGGAGGATAGCAGCCAGTGCCCGACTTGGGCTGTAGTGCCATAGGAGAGGGAGAGTATGAAATGAATTAAGGTGACTGAAGTACATGTGCTAAGGTAGCTGGGGTATATGCAGTGTAGATATAAGGACCATCTTATACAAAAAGCTGTGAGGTGTTTAGTCCTCGGCAGAAATAGAAGAGAAAGGCTGAAAGAGATGTAGTGGGTGACAATTAGTCAGGATATGGATGTAAAAGGTATTCATATTGATACAGCACAGGATACAAAAGTATGGAGGAAAATAATTAGAGACTCTGACCCTGCATATTGAGAAGGCAAAGAGAATGATGATGACATTCAGTTTATATAGTTTTTATTAATAACTCACCAGATCCGCAGAGGCATAGGAGTGATCAACTTCAGATATAATTATTTCAGCATCCTAAAAAGTAATGTTTAATTAGGAACATATAGTTTAAATTATTGTCATCTAAAATCTAAATTGTCAGGGTATCACTTAAGAATGATATCTGGAGATGCCTGAAATAAGAGACTTATTAGGTAGTTAAATGATGGCATGCACATTTTTAAAATAAGGGCTAATAAATATATATCAATTTGCCATCAGATTTTTACGAACTATAAAATGTCTACCCTGACAATCCTATTGAATTTGCACTTAAGTATTAAAATTTAATACTTACTAGTATTTGCTGATCCATTTCATCGTTATCTATATATATTTTTTCTTCTGAAGTTATTTTCTACAAAAAATGATAAATCAGATAATTGAAGGAAACAAATATTGATTGAATGAAAAATATAGTAACAATATTGGGTATAATATACAGTAGCTACAATACATTTCAGTAAAGTTATATGTAATATAAATAATAAAGCTTTATTATAAATATATGAAACTTTTAGTTACTAAGAGCTGGTTTCACCAACAACAAATAAATCAGTGAATTGTTATTTGTCTATTATAATTTTATTGTGATTCAATACCATTTTTCTCTGTAGCTACTACTGTGTGTATTATGACCAAATATATAATTTACTTACACTAGTACTGGGAATGTTTTCCCACACATAATTAGTTTTTATTGTTTCATCACTATCGAAAATGGTTTTCAAGCCCACCACTGTTTTTTTCGTTAATGATTCTTAGGGTTGCCTCAATCACAGGATCCTCTAAAGTTTTAATTTCAGGACCACCACCAGTGCCTCTTAAATATGATTTTTCTTTGGCCACAACTTTTCTTGTTCTCGTTTTAATATTATCATATTTATTTTTCACTTGTTCCACTGTTCTCCATACCACATTTTTAGCATTAAAATTAGTTAAAATTTTTTGCCATGCTTCTTCCTACAAAATATGAAATGCAAATGAACATCAACAGCTTGACTGTACATAGGTAATATATGATACTCAATTATTTAAATAATTTAAAGGATTTTTAACAAATGAAATATTGTACCAACCTTTTCTTTATTGTTTACTTTGTTTGTAGTTTTGCACTCTACTATATCTTTGTATTTTTCGATTTCTTGCAATAAACGAAGTTCCTCCTCTTTGCTAAAGTTTGTAGAACGTTTCTTTGATTTGTCCATTTTAAGTACTTAATTAATAGTAATAATTAATGATATATATATTATACTAATAAAAATAGTAGGTACCTAATATTAATAAAATTAGTGGTAAACTAGAATTAAAAAGTAAGTATTAAGTAATTAATCTAATTAAAAACAAAAGTAGAGTAATAATAATGAACTATAACTAACTAATGAACAAAGTAATTTTTAAGAAATTAATCTAATTAGAAAGAAAAGTATAACAATGATAATAAACTAATTAATTTTTAGAAATAATAATATTAGTTAGTAGCTTAAGTTAAAAGTAGTATTAGTATTAAAGTTAATAATAATTAAATTAAATCTGGATTAGTAATTAAGTAATAATAAGTAATTTAAGTTAAAAACCAACAATTATAAAAGCAAAATAATAGTGTATCGATCTGGTAGGTAGAATACAAACGCGCGAAATTCGGCAAAATGGCCAAAATGTATGACATTCAATGTCAATATTTCCATTTTAGTTCAAATACATTATAATCCAGTTTAACCAACAGTATAAAATTTCATTAAAAGCCACTTTACTTAAAGAACCCTTTAAAGCGAGTTATGAAATCAAATAACGTTAACAGCCACTTTAAAGGCGACTTTAACATAAAGTCTCCTTTTACTAAAGTCCACTTTAGGGAATCATTATGAAATCGGCCGTTAAACCTGGAGAACACTCTGAAGTAACACGATTATTCAGTTACATCTTGACATTTTTTCAAATTTACCTAAAACGGTTCTTTGCGTTACAACAGGTTTGTTTACATACAGTATAAAGTATAATTAATTTTAAGGTATTTGATAAGATGGATCGTGAAATTTTGGAAGAAACATTGTATTATTTATAATGCGGGTTGTCCTCTATAAAAGTTATATAGGCTAGAAAGCATATTTTAATTTAG